AGTAACTTCGGTGGTTGTATTCGTCCGTTCTGTTCAGTGTCCAGTCTCAATCTGTCCCTTGTCGCCAGTCAGATTAGGCGGGTAAGTTAATCACGTGCCTCGATCACACCCGGAACCATACGAGTACATCGGGTGGCCACATTCGTGACCAACTCGTGTTATTCCGGGACAAGCCGAATAGCGATTCCTTTCGTCACCACTCGCCCCTTTCCGTAACCTGAAAGAAGAAAGGCTTGTCCCGGAATAGCACGAGTTGGTCACGAATGTAGCGACTGCAGGTTACGGAAAGAGGCGAGTGGTGACGAATGCGGGTGGCCAATCCGATCGATATAACCGAATGTGCGAGTATGGAAGCACCAATCACTACAACATATACTCAGATGACACCATCAGCTACGGGTGTGAGGCTTCTATTTATTCGTTAATGAGCAAGATAGACACCCTGTAAGAATAAACAATTAATATAATATATATGCATATGAAAACATAATTTATATCATATCATCATCAAAACAATAGGATAATTTCTGTTACCTTGCTTACAACCAAATACTATTAGATAGTATAAGAGAAATGGCTCATAATCTGTATAGGATAAAATAGTTACATACTTCTGAATGTATCATAGATAATAAAATGATATACAATGCACACTACCCTATGTGTGGCATAAGGGTGTGAAACGTGACACGCTTCAGCCGTCACTGCTCATTATATAGGTCCTGCACAAGAACGAGCAGGAATAAATACGTATGCATAATATGTACATACTAGAACATAAGGTGAGGTGAGGTGAAATGGGGTTTAACGTCGCGTCCAAGATTATTGCACTTATATAGCGACGTGCATGTACGTGTGTGCGTTTGTGCGGCTGCTTGTACTAGTCCTGACTGATGCCGATTTATAATGCTAGCTCACTAAGATACCATGCCGCAGTTTAACATGAACACCCCACTCAGATAAAGTATACTGACTCCGAACCGACCAGTCTTTGTTTTAGCCCCTTAATGCCGAGCGCCAGACAGGGTAACAACAAGTACCATCTTTTAACGTCTTTTGGTATGACGCGGCCGGGGATCGAACCCCGGACCTTCCGCTCTCCGGGCGGACGCTCTACCACTAGACCACAGAGGCGGTCTAATAGAATATAAGAAAATAGCATTACCAAGTGCACTGACAGATTACTATGCAAACCAAAGGCAATAAAATAAATATCAAAATGCACAGTTTGTGCACTTCCATAATTCCAGATATACCTCAGCATATATGCAAGATAATATTAAAATACACCATTGAACTTTACTTGCTTAAGTTAAAGTTCAACCTCTAAAATACATTCATTCAAAACGTCAACATTCATAAAAATATATGATTTAATGTAAATATGATAATTACTGCTGAGATGCTTATTTATAATGCCTAACTTTTGTTTACTATCTAATCCTATCGAGAGAAAAAAATAATCTTATAAACTAATCTCTGGTGATGATCCCCAAATGCTCCCGATGCAGCGCATAGTAAAAGTGGCAATATGGAGTTAGCCAGAGCAATACGGTAGTGTTTGAATTTGGCCAATCACCGGATACCTTGGGATGTGATAGATCTGGACATAAAATGTAGGGATAAATACTACTTGTTGGACAACAACATATATTGCCACCCTGAAATGCCAACAAGCCTCTGTTGAATATAATTCAACAGAAACAAAAGCTGAAATAGAAAATACTTACAAAAAGCTAAAATACAAATAAATACCTGCTACAATATTGATACAATATTGCAAAAAAAACCACGGCGAATAATATGACACACTCACTGACGTATTAACCCCAAATCATGAATGAAACGAAATGTTATTTTTTTCATGTAATAGTTCAAAATGGCGTACTGAGCAAGTCATTCATTGCATTGTTCCTGCTGTGACCATGACAAGCAGGTAGGTTTGTAATAAATTTGTTTTTACCCTATGCCTGAGATGAAAGAATCTACCGTCATAGCATGTGGCAGCTGCTATGAACAGCTGGTGCTGTTTATTCATTGCATTAAATTGCTATAAATACGAACGCGTGACAGAGCATATGAAAGCTGTAATTACTCGGGCTATGCTCAGTTGTATCGCCGTGAGATCAGCAAACCGGAAGCTGCCGATCACAACTCTTGCTCCTCCGAGTTCAGTTCAGATTGCAGCGTGTTGCCATAGCTACAGGTTAGTCTTATATATTTCTTGTGTGGACAATACAAATTCATGTATTTCAAATTCGGCATTATACATGTATTGACTAATTGTCCCGCAACAATCATATATTCTTTTCAGCTACTTGCTGCTAATTGAACACGGAAAGGACAACATTTTAGCGTCAACTTAATCGTTAAATATCATTCGTGACCAACTCCATTCGTTACCAACTCGTGTTATTCCGGGACAAGCCGAATAGCGACTCGTGCCCCTCCTATGGCCATTTTTGCGACCGGGTTCCGTTTTAGCGCAAACGGGCATACCTAAAATAATTGTCAAATCGTCGCATTATGGTTCACATGTTTCCCCATATATTATATATATTTCAGATGCAATTTAAAGCACATTTGGACATGCAGAATTATACAGTATGATTGAACACATTTAACTGTGTCTTGGGTATATTTTTAGATGCAAGACATATGTAAAATCAAAAATTATTTCTGAGGGATTCTTTGACGAAGAACTTGAAATCATACGCGCATTCTGATTGGTTTGTCGTATTTTCGCACATAACATTCATCGATAGGGGGACGAGTCTTCTTGCAGGTTACGGAAAGAGGCGAGTGGTGACGAATGCGTTAAATGTCTGCGTGTTTGCTTTCCGAGTGCATATGTATCCTGTGTATATGACTGAATAAAAATTTATAAAAAAAATATATATATATAAAAATAAATAAATAAATAAATAAATAAATAAATAAATAAATAAATAAATAAAATGTCTGCGTGTTTAGGACTTTTCTGCGCATGTAAGTGAATGTGGTGATAATGTTACCAAACAGTTAAGAATATGAATGAAAAACAAATCCGCGTGTAGTCACCTTTCATTTCAGTACAAAATGAATGAATTACGATATAAATGAGACTGTGCAGGTGTATTGGAGTTGTCGTGAGTCTGAACTGAGAGTTTGTTTGGTTGGTTGGTTGCACTCAGCAATATTCCAGCTATATGACGGCGGTCTGTAAATAATCGAGTCTGGACCAGACAATCCAGTGATTGACATCATCAACATCGATCCACGCAATTGGGATCGATGACATGCATCAACCAAGTCAGCCAGCCTGACCACCCGATCCCGTTAGTCGCTTTTTACGACAAGCATAGTCGCCTTTTACGGCAAGCATGGGTTGCTGAAGACCTTTGCTACCTCGGATCTTCACGGGTCCTGAGAGTGAAAGCTTTGACACGTCAGTCTGCTCTTATTAAACGTACAGTCTTTTTCATCGTCGCGTACACACATAATTTACTGCTGCGCTCTGACGAAAATATTCCATGGATAACTATAAGGCTTTCAAATATACATTTGCAGAAAGCAATCTGCTTAACTTATTTACGAGACATTTTCTGAAGCGATCGGACAAGACACGATATCTACAAAATACAGCGATGTCATGACGAGAGCAATTTTCTTCAAGATTTAACTGACGTGATAGTAAGATTACACTTCGTAATTTTCAGTTGATTTATCAACTGACCCATCAAAACGGAAAGTTAATTTATCATCAGTTTGCTCATTTGTAAATGGATTACAAAAATGAAAAGAAATTCTTCAAATGTCTACCATAAGCTAACTGTTCACATCAGAATAGTAGGGGAACAATATGAAACAAAATACAAAGGTGTCACGAGTGTGCCTGCTCACTAGACAGTGCTGAAGAAATGCCACATTCAGTCGATGGTATCTTTTTTCCGTCTGGGGCAGCTGGCTTGACGTTGCCCATAATGCTAGTAACTACAGGAGTATTGAATTTGTATAGCTTAACAGGTATGTGGTATCCTATGTGTTACAACACATAGCAGTAGCACTTCACGAGCACTAGGACTCAAGTGACTTAGATTTTGCTATTCAGCCACCACTATTCAAGAAACATCACATTTATCTGTAAATAATCAAGCCTAGGGCAGACAAACCAGTTATTGATGAGATGAGTATCAATCCACCCATTTGCGGTATAAGTAGGAGAAAGTATGTGTTTTCATATTTCGGGCGTTAATGCGTAATCTACCATGAATTTGGAAACGACTCGATTTTGGACTTTCCCTGAACATACATAGTCGTCCCCCACTTATAACTTTTTTTTATACTGACCCAACGCATGCATGTGATGTGTATTCATTAATATTTCAAATAATTGTTTACGCGGTATATCGGTCATACCGCCCACCTCTTATGACCACCAGAAAACATACATCCTCGTCTCACCTTGTATTTCGCTATAAGCTGCATTACTTACTCCTTTTCTCGAAATATATTTGTTTTGGCTGGTACTAGTCCATGAAATACAACTTGTTCTTTCACTTTTTTTATCCCATCTTTGTACTATTTACATTTTACACCTTGGTATATATATGTACATTAAAAGACTTACGTGATAGGTTATTTGAAGTAAAGTTTCAAAGGAAAAGTTAGAAAATGTGATAGATAATGTTCGTAGATAAATGAAACTAATGCTGGCTGCAATGAACTACTGTACGATTCGGGCAGTATGGGGTCTGGCGTTGTCATGCTGATTGACATAACGTGGCAGCTGTTGTTGAAATGGAAGGACAATCGGACGAAAAATGTCATCCATGTAACGCTGAGCTGTCACATTTCCGTTAACAATGAACAGTGGTGTTCTCTCCTGCCCACAAATTCCTTCCCACGCCATAACACCTCATCCACCATGAACCATGACCTCCTGAACGCAACATGCCGCCGTTCGTTCTCCCCTTTGGCGGTAAAACCGTTGTCTTCCATCAGCACTGAACAGACAGAACCGGTTTTCATCAGTGAAACGACCCTCTGTCAGTCAGTGAAACAGGTCTTCATTGGGCGTAGTTACCCTGGATATGACTGTTCTTGACGTGTCTGGTGTCTGCCCGCTCTTTCTGTGACGTTGCATCAGGTTAGTTACAGCAACACAGGTACAACCAAACGTTCTAGCGACGTGGACATTGTTGACTTCCATCTGTATCGGGGCGGTCGGGTAGCCTAGTGGTTAAAGCGTTTGCTCGTCACGCCAAAGACCCGGGTTCGATTCCCGACATGGGTACAATGTGTGAAGCCCATTTCTGGTGTCCCCCGCCGTGATATTGCTGGAATATTGCGGCGTAAAAACCATACTCACTCACTCACTCCATCTGTATCATACAGAGGGTCCACTCGCGTTGTTCGGGTGTCACAGGTGGCATTTCTGTCGTGTTTTTATCAGTGTGATTTTTTGACATGCCGTCCTTATCATTTATATACCCTTATTGCACGTGTAGTTTCGGCTTCCCAAGCGGCACGTGGTTTTCATTTTTTCGCATTTTCTAAAAAAAAAGAAACGTGCCGTGTTTCACTTTCTACATAGCCATATTATGTTCAGTTTGTACTTGTGTTTTTTAATTTTTTGTAATTTCATTTTTATACTGGTAAAGGTTCTTTTCGTTGTCCTTTTATATAATTTAAGATTGCGAAAAAATCCCATGATATATTTGTTTTTATACAAATTTTATTTTTATTAAGATTGCAAAATAAATTATATATTACTAAATACGAATGTAAATCACATGACATTGATGGAAGTATTTGATAATTTAGAGAATGCTGGGTAATAAAATAAATAATGAAAACTATTTTAAATAACGAAAACCATACACATTTACAATGAAACATTTTGTCATTCAGGTATCAATTATCTATATTGTGTGTAATTACTATTACTATCTATGTTATTACTTGAGCTATTCGACATTGATGTTTGTGGTTAATATATTGAAAAAGCTGTTTTATCTTGGATCCATTTTCACAGCTCTTCCATTCCCTTAGTCAACTATATGTGCATCTTTGTTTTGAAATACCACGCCTTTAAACAGATATGAAAAGCACATGTCAACATACCAAAATGAGAAAACTGCGCCAAATTCTAACGGCGTTACTCAAGCGATAAAAGGTCTCATTTATTCGTCTTCAGTGGCGGGAAATCACTGACCGTCTTTAAGTCTACACGCATGAATACTTGCGATAGATTATCAATACTTTTTAAATCTAATATAATTATATCTAATATCCATAGCAGAATGTTGGAAATACGAACCCTATCATGTAATGGTAATATATGAGATGTATAATGTGTATGTGTTGATTTACATAATTATTCATCAATTATCTTCTACAATTACAGCATGTTACATGGACATTAGACAAACGGAAAACACTATTTCAGCACATCAATCATAGCATATCACGATGGGGTAGCCTAGTGGCTAAAGCGTTCGCTCGTTACGCCGAAGTCCCGGGTTCGATTCCCCACATGGGTACAATGTGTGAAGACCATTTCTGGTGTCCCTCGCAGTGATATTGCTGGAATATTGCTAAAAGCGGCGTAAAACCATACTCACTCACACATAGCCTGTCACAGTTAGAATGCAAGGAAAACCAAACCGAAATCGACCTTTACAGTAACAGTTATTTGTGGAAATCCACGGGCGATCGTGGAGAACCACAAGCAGAAACGTAATCGCGGCTTAGCGATCGAAAATCGAACATGCCATCATTTCTATTGTAGGGGTGACAAGTTGTAGAAAAAGGTTTTTAAATGCTAAACAAATATATTTCTACAACAAACTTTTTGAATTAACATTCTATTAGTTAGCAATTACCCCCAGTAAACAGTAATAACATCAAAATAAATGCCTCTCTACCCCGGACTTGGATGTGGCAGAATTTGACCTACATCACGGTTACTCACACCTCGAAGCTGTCAATGACTGACAATCTTGTGTTTACATATATTGTGTGAGCAAGATGACAACCCCGATCTATGATGTGGTTCAGCATTAACCTGTAGATTTACTGGGAATGATCGAGCCTGCTGGTACAATATGATTACCAATGGAAGTGGGTATGACTGAACATCCGCTTTTTAGCCTGCCGACGAGTCGGACATTTTTTACACAGCTTGGGCCTATCTCAGTATCCGCATGGTGCTACCTATCCATTTCAAGATTTCATGGATTCCAAAGCCAGCGTGTGAATGGAATGAGACATTCGTGGCCCAGACATAGCGGGTCGTGTATGATTTCCTTAATTGTGCGTGTTCTGAAATGAATTTCATCAAGTTTGACTTCAATGATGTAGGGACATTGTTTTCGTGGAGTTTCGAATGGACAAGTGTTTTCTGGGTGACGGAATTTCAAATCCTCTTCTGCCAAATCCTTACGATGGTGGTTGGCGGAGATAGCGTCGAATATCGATCACAAAAAGGTTTGTAAACAACAGGTTTTGATGAAAAAAGTTTTTTCAAACCATATTTTAATGTTATATTTTACTTTCATTGTTGGTTGTTTCAATGTTGAAATAGCTTAAATTGTTCCAATTCTGGTCACCATAGAACATTTCCCTAACAGTTTCATAAACATTTCATCTGTATGCAAAAGATATGCCTTCGTTAAATCTTTTAATGCCATCATCGAAGCAGTCTAGGTTGCGGCCTAGCCAACGCCCAAAACATCCGATATCAAACTACCGTATTTCCTCTATTTGACGCTATGCCGTCTTTTAATTTCACGAGAGCCCTTGACTCGGCGTGTATTAGAGACCTGGCTGGTATTAGAGACCCAGCGTGTATCAGAGGAAATATAGATACGTTTTACAGTTCATATGGGGTGATCGTTCGGCAGCCATTTTCTATGAATCGATATTTAGTCTATCTATGTATTCATACGCACGTTTTTTGTGTGAAAAGGCCTGATATATTTGAAAGGGATTTCTGTAGCAAAATGGAAACCTCTTTTTAACCATTCAGAAGCAGCATTCATCAATGTCATGGTAGAATGTTGAATAATTGCGTAATTTTGTTGTTTTTCTGAGTGGTTGTTGCCAGCACGATGCTAAAGGGGCCGTCACACCATGACGTTCTGGTCAACGTTCTCTGAACATTTCAATTGTTCAATTTTTGAGCGTTCTAGAATGAGGATGACACATCTGGCGTTTGATTAACGTGTGCCTAACGCATGACTAGCGTGTGTCTAACGCACGAGAAGCGTGTAACAGCGACCAAGTAAGATACCCCTGAAAACCATTAGCGTGTGCTAACGTGCCACTGGCGCGCGACGAACGATTTGTCAACGTTAGACGAGCGTATTGAGCGTGTGACTAACGTGTGAATAACGACAGAATAGCGTCTTGCTGGCGTGTCGTGTCACACGCTGCGTGCGCTAGGGGACCGTTCAGCGGTCGTTGACAGGTCGCCAGTGAGTCGTTCAATGCAAAGCAAACGATTAGTAACAACCAAGTAACGCTAGAGTAACGACTGACTAACGATAGCCGAACGCGTGCAACGCTCGGCGAACGTTAGTAAAACGTTCCACGAACGTTCTTAAACGTTCTTCAGCGTTTAAAATTAAACGTTGAAGAACGCTGGTCTCAGTGAGAACTTTTGTGCATGTTCAAAACTTTTTTTCCGGACCAGCGTTCTCCGCCGATTCCCGGCGATCACCGACGTTCACTAGCGTTCACACAACGCTCTTCTGGCGCTATCCCAGCAACCATGGGCGACTACCAACGTTTCCTCAAACGTCATAGAACGCTGACCAGAACGTCATGGTGTGACGGCCCCATTAACAATGCATATGGAATCCTGTTAACGCACATGTTTTTATACCCATCCTTGGGTTGTGAAATGCATGGTGCTTGCATAAAAGTCAACTTTTGCATGGAATGCATGCTTTTCTGTAGCAGTTGCGTTTTTGTGACTTGATTCCATACATGTACTACAATATTGAAAACCAAACTTTACTTGTTTGAAAAATACACCAAAATATTGGTGTCACAGAAACTTTTGTTGTTGAGTATACATGTATGTCTTAGGTAATTAATACAATTTACTGTATTTTAAATTCGGCATATAACATTTCTTTAAACTTATTTGCTGCTCATTGAACACGGAAATGACAACATTTTAGTGGTACCATTGTATCGTTAAATGTCTGCGTCTTTAGGACATATCTGCACATGTAAGTGAAAAGGTTAAGAATAAGAATGAAAAAAAATCCGTCGAATAGTCACATTTCATTTCATTACAAAATGAATGAGTTACGACAGAAATGTTTGTTTATTTGTTGACGCCGCACTCAGCAATATTCCAGCTATATGACGGAGGTCTGTAAATAATCGAGTCTGGACCAGACAATCCAGTGATTGACATCATTAGCATCGATCTACGCAGTTGTGACACGATGACATGCATCAACCAAGTCAGCGAACCTGGCCACCCGATCCCATAAGTCGCCTCTTACGACAAGCACAGTCGCCTTGTACGGCAAGCATGGGTTGCTGAAGACCACTTCTACCTCGGATCTTCACGGGTTGTGACATAAATGAGACTGTCCGGGTGAATGGGAGTTGTGTGAGTGTGAACTGAGAGTTGCAAATATAAAAGCTTTTGACACATCATTTTACTCTTATTAAACGTACAGTCTTAGTCCCTGATACAAATATATATCAAATACAGCCCATGCAAGTCTATAATGTTTGGCAAGTCTAGATTACTGCAGTATCTGAAAATGAAGAGTCACTGGGCTCCCTTTTATTATATTTTTATAAAGATAATTGAACGACTGTTTTTTCTGTACGATATGTACATTTCAGAGACTAGATGTTGGTCTAGTACAGTCTGTTTCTTTTTAATTCGTGGCTTATACACATAATTTACTGCTGCCTTGTGCACGAAAGCATTCAACTTCATTATTAAGGATAACTGAACGGTTACAAATATGCCTTTACAGAGAACAGTCTGTTTAACTTTTTACGAGACATATTCTAAAGCGATCCGATAGGTGACTTTTGATCACACGATTTCAATAAAATACAGTGATGTTACAGTTTATGTTATAAGTCACATATAAGTGTATTATCGGAAACCCAAATGTTACAATTTACATTTATACCATTATTTTACCTGGATCTGGCGATACACGAGTTGTGAAAAACTATACTTGGAGCAAACAGGTGTTGCAACCGGCAACTTTCGGTCTGTTTTGTACAGGGGTTGATACATAGGGTGTACAACGCCCAAACCGGAAGGAAGGGGTTTTGCAAAATTTAATCCCTGGCAAAACGAAAACAGAAACGAAATCAATAAAGTGGCGCTTGATGTTTCCAACCCCAAGGTTTTGGTGCACATCGTATACGAACTGCAGATATTATGTACAGTCTGTAGAATCAGTGTATGCGAACTGCAGATATTATGTACAGTCTATGGCATCATTGTATGCGAACTGCAGATATTATGTATATGGCATCAGTTTATGCGAACTGCAGATATCATGTACAGTCTATGGCACCAGTGTATGCGAACTGCAGATATCATGTACAGTCTATGGCATCAGTGTATGCGAACTGCAGATATTATATACAATCTATGGCATCAGTGTATGCGAACTGCAGTTGTCATGTACAGTCTATGGCATCAGTGTATGCGAACTGCACATATTATGTACAGTCTATAGTATCAGTGTATGCGAACTGCAGATGTCATGTACAGTCTATGGCATCAGTGTATGCAAACCGAGATGTCATGTACAGTCTATGGCATCATTGTATGCGAACTGCAGATGTCACGTACAATCTATGGCATCAGTGTATGCGACCTGCAGATATTATGAACAGTCTATGGCACCAGTGTATGCAAACTGCAGATGTCATGTACAGTCTATAGCATCAGTGTATGCGAACTGCAGATGTCATGTACAGTCTATAGCATCAGTGTATGCAAACTGTAGATAGTATGTACAGTCTATAGCATCAGTATATGCAAACTGCAGATATTATGTACAGTCTATAGCATCAGTGTATGCAAACTGCAGATGTCATGTACAGTCTATGGCATCAGTGTATGCGAACTGCAGATATTATGTACAGTTTATAGCACCAGTGTATGCAAACTGCAGATGTCATGTACAGTTTATGGCATCAGTGTATGCAAACTGCAGATGTCATGTACAGTCTATGGCAGAAGTGTATGCGAACTGCAGATATCATGTACAGTCTATGGCACCAGTGTATGCGAACTGCAGATAGTATATACAGTCTATAGCATCAGTGTATGCGAACTGCAGATATTATGTACAGTCTATGGCATCAGTGTATGCAAACTGTAGATGTCATGTACAGTCTATGGCACCAGTGTATGCGAACTGCAGATGTCATGTACAGTCTATTGCATCAGTGTATGCGAACTGCAGATATTATGTACAGTATATGGCATCAGTGTATGCGAACTGCAGATGTCATGTACAGTCTATAGCATCAGTGTATGCAAACTGCAGATATTATGAACAGTCTATGGCATCAGTGTATGCGAACTGCAGATATTATGTACAGTCTATGGCACCAGTGTTTTTTTTGGTACAGTCAAGTTTTTTTTCTTCATTCGCCTATTTAGATGTTTTTCCTTTCAAAAGAGAGCTCAGATTTTTTATGCCACATTTCAAAGCAAAGATCAAAGAAGCTTGACTCATCCTAAAACCAAGCAAATGTAAATTCGCGACAAAACAATTCGCCTATTTAGGGCATATCTTCAGCAAAGATGGCATCCATGTCCATCCTTCCAAAGGCGAAGTCAATAACCTTGTCCAAGGCTACAACACAGTGACTTGCATGATATGGCCCCATGAAATGGAAGATTTGAAATGATTATTAATAAATAAGTGTTACAGACATATTGTCTCTCACAGTGATGTCTCTCTGTCAAAGACTATGGCTTTGCTCTTTGAGGATTGCCATATTACGGTCGATACTTCTTATTGAGGCTGAGGTGGGTTTTTTCAAGCAGATGGAAGCTGATTTTTTTTTTATTTACACAAGAGTATGAGCTGTGTTTGTTTTTATTTAAAAACCGGGCTTACCCTTGAAATCAAATCCCCGTAGCGATAATTTTACTTTCGACTTTAGCGATGCCATCAACAAAAACGGTACCGGTGCTGATTTTGTTTATTTATTTCAGTACCCAACGTGTCCCATGGATCTCATCCCCTTCAAGCACCGAGACACCCAACTGGCAAGAATACGGAAGTTTCTATGTCATGATCTATTTGACGGAATTTGTTTGACCTCCAGGTAAGCAGATCTTTTAAAAGTCTCCCCTTTGATTAGTTTCATATTTTACATTTTAAAAACCATCTGAACATACGAATGTAAGTCAAACATTGACATAAGAACATCTAAGACCAATTCTTAATTATAATTCTTAGTCAGTTTTCCGAGGACTGTTGTCCTGATAATAAATAATTAAAGTAATAATGTGTGTACTTATATTGCGCTAGATTCCAGACACAAAGTACATGCTTACATTATTACCCTGGGTAATGGATCAGTGTGCACTGGATTTTCATTCTCCGCTGGAGTATACCGTGATACAGGTGTATTATTTTATACTGATATTTATTAATGAATCTATTATTCTAGCCTGGCTCACTTTCAACTATGAGCCGTAACAACGTGAACTAGTCAATAAAGTGCATTGTTTGAGTAGTTCATTGCAAGTGTATTTGATCTGGTCAGGCCGTTTGTATATTAGTGACAGCCCTTTGAACGTGATAGGAGTCCAAATAGACACAGAAATGGAAATGAAAGAGTACCGAGCAGTCATCAAGTTTTTGACTTCAGAGAAAAGTACTCCCCTAAAAATTCCTGAAAGCTGCCGTGAATTGGTTTTTCAAGATGGCTTCAGAAAATTTCGTCCTGACTGGAATTGAAAAGCTTCATTATCGATATGAGAAGTGTATTGAAAAACAGGGAGATTATGTTGAAAAATTAAATGAAAAACACTTTCACAATTCATTGTTGGTTTTGTTGGTTTGATAGGCTTGGTACTTTTTGACCAGCCCTCCAGAAGGCATTCATTATTTGCAAAACACTTTAAGTCAATTATTGTGAACTGATTTCAGTGCTTAATAAATGATAAAGGCATTTCGAATTTTGGTAGCAAACTAAAGCTTATAACTTGCACTTGTTCTGAATTATGACGAACGTCACGTCAATATTTTCGATTTCAATACACCTATCGAAATTTTCGATATTCAAGAGTGGTTACGTTGTAACCTATTTTGTCTTTTGTTGATGTATTGAAATCGGACCAAGAAAATTCCGATACATCAATAATGCGATCAGTCAGAACACACCAAGTCACGGGATTGAAATTTTGGATCGACATTGAACATGAAAAATTGATTTCTAGGTCATTATGAATGTAATTTATCTATGAGTATATATTATATTCTTTATTAAAGAGTATATCCACAAAAGGAGGCACTGTGTTGTATTGCTCACGCGCAAGCTGATGACACAGTAATGTACGCCCAAGCCGTCAATCTTCCCTATGACGAGGTCAAGGTTGGCCAAGCGTTTGGACCTCTGTAAGTTTACATTTATCATGATTAGATTTGGCGTACGGTCTACGATATATATTCTGTTACAAAAGTGTTCTGTTTTTACTATCCCAATATTTAAGGTACATATACTACAGAACTAAAAGTATCGTCATGGCCTGCTTAATGGATAACTGACCCAAGACACAGAACTGGTCCGTAAAAATTGCTTGCCGAACGAGCAGGCTCAAGTGGAACGGGCTGTCACGTTCTGTGACTTGGTCGATTGTGTGTCACCGTAACCCGACTGCGTGGGTTGTTGGTCATGATATCAACCACTGGTTTGTCTGGTCCAGACTTGATTACTAGTAGTTGCAGGCCACTGTGGTAGTATAGCTGGAACATTGCTCATTAGTGACAGCCAAAACTGTACTTTGTTGGATTGCTAGGTATGCTATAGTATACGAGCTGTTACCATTGCAACAACTGTAGGTGGTCCAAGCACTGGTTTCGACTCCAAATCAAGATACAAGAGAGCTGGTCGGGACAGGAAGTAAGGCTAGTGTGGAATTCTGGTTCCGAATGTCAAATATGGGTTGATGGGAAGCCAGTGCAAGTAAGTCTTCTTCTTCTTCTTCTCCTTCTTATTATTATTATTATCATTGTCATTATCATTATTATTATTATTATTATTATTATCGACCATTACTTTCTCGAACACCTGGTGCCATCACTATTTGATAGTGATCATCAGCTTTTAGCATCGATGTCTTATGATTATGGACATAATTTTTGTCTTTAATTAATTTATTAAGTTATGGCCCTTGCTCCAAGCTTTTCAAATGCGTGCATTCTGCGTGAAAAGCGGACAAATTGTCTGAGAAAGTACTGAATTTACATAAATGAAAGTTTGCATCCTTATCTAAGAGATACTTGCCAAGACAGTTCGAAAATTGTCACGTAAATTAGTTTTGTACACAGTTAGTGCCCTTGATCTCTGCTATTTTACCTTGTCTATAGTGCTGCAATGGGGACAAGTTTTCTTAGAAACTACTGAATTTACATGAATGAGACTTTTGAAATCTTATCTGAGAGATACTTGTCAAGACTGAGTTCGAAAATTGGTCCATAAATTACTCTAATTCGGAGTGACGTGCTTTGCTACATGTTTTTAGATTTTGTGCATCCTGTCTTCAATACATTTCCTGAAAACTACACAATCATTTGCATGCTTATACGAGATACTTGTTTAATAGTTTTAAAGACATTAACGTCCGTATTATTCACTTGAAGAAACATAATTCTGATATGGCCCTTGATAACGCTGTTTTCTTGCTGATAACTGATCTGAGAAGGGATGATTGTTTCATTGGAAAGTAATGTGGTTATGTTAGCTTTCCTTTGGATCTATCTTTTTGAGCAGGAAAGCTTTAATGCATCAATAAAGGTTTGGATATCTATGTTGGGAATCGAACACGGGCCTTCGTCCTGAGAAGTGAACACTTCAACCACTGGGCCACCCCACCACCACTTCATATTCTGAAGTAAATGTGTCCTCTCTCTCCATCTGCAGACTCTTGTTCTTGTCTTCCAGGGTTTGAGTTGCATGAAGAATAGATATTACTACACCATCACGTCCTGTGCCGATTCAGAAGCTCTTGAGTGAGTTTCTGAGTCCTTTTTCAGTTTTTTTTGTTTTCTGTTTACCGCAAAAGTCAAATATTTATAAAAAGAATTATGCGACAGGTTTAAATGGTGAACAACTAGTATTATTTAACTTTCTTACATTAGCAAATACATGGGGATGGATAACATGGGCATAAAAGAATATTTTATCCATCTTCGAGACAATGTCTTGTCCCTTCCCAATGTATGTGATGGAGATACGAACCTTTATATCACTTAGGCCTTAAGCTTGCAACGACGTCTTTAATTCAGTCACCTCATCTACATCGAGATGTCTGTCAACGGTATCTACAACGATTTTAACGAAGCACCTCCTGATTTCCAAGCAACGTTGACAACAGCAGAAATCCGAGTATTTGACAGAAATGTATTCAACGTTATGATGGATTTGCAAGTGTTGTACGAAATGGCAAAGGTACCAAAATATATATAGATTAATTACACCACCTAATTTGATATAAGAATTAAAATATAACTTGTAATCTGAACGATTGCTTTGAGCATATTGTTAGATTATGTACAGTGGTGTGTTTTTTATGGCAGAGTTTGTTTGTTGTTTAAAGCTACACTGAACGCCGAAATGAAAGTGATTTAATAATAAGATCAATATTGACATCAGTCTGTCTAACGGAGGCTCATACTCAAATTGGCAAAACACAAACACAGTTTGTCCAATTTATTTGGGGCACGAGTGGACCTGTTGTCCGTGATGCCGAATATGCTGTCAGAATTGCGTCCCTTTGGCGTGCCAGGAACCTGTGCGTTCGTTTTCCATATTCGGTCATAAAGCTGACATGCCATGATATAAAACTGAAATACTGTTCCAACCAGTGTTAAATCAAAACTCACGCCCTTACTCGTACGATTTAGAAATGTATATGTATCGGCATGTGATATTTAATGTTACAGGATCTCCCACGTGATAGCTGTATGTCGGAGTATGCGCTGCAGGTTGCAAATGACGTCATCAATGCGTGTGTGCTTGGAACTAAAGAGGCCTACAAAATGTTGGTAGTTTGTTTAATCACAGATTTTTGTTACCATTAGAAACAAAAGAAATAAATGTATTCATACATTCCGGTTAAGTGTCACAGTGTAAAACGAATAAATTAAGTACATCTATAAGAATCGTGACTATAAAAATGCACATAAAAAACATCAAACCGTACTCCCCTATGTATACAAAGATCTAATAATGGTGAGGTGAAATGAGGTTTAACGTCGCGTCCAAGATTATTGCACTTATATAGCGAAGTGCATGCACGTGTATGTGTGTGTGTATGGCTGCTTGTACTAGTCCGGACTGATGCCGATTTATAGTGCTAGCTCACTGCGATACCATGCCGCAGTTTAACATGAAAACCCCACTCAGACACAGTATACTGACTCCGGGCCGACCAGTCCTTGTTTTAGCCCCTTAACGCCGAGACAGGGTAACAACAAGTGCCATCTTTTAACGTCTTTTGGTATGACGCGGCTGGGGATCGAACCTCGGACCGTCCCGGCGGACGCTCTACCGTTAGACCACGGAGGCGGTCGATCTAATACTGAGGATTCGGTGGATAATATGACCTGGTTGATTGAGTGTATGTCATCGCACCTCAACGGTATGATGATCAGTCAGTCATGTGTCTGCAATATTTGTATATTCACTTGCTGACATGTCAGATGGAGTATTGGTGACTGCAGAAAAAAATGACACAACATCCATTTAAATATATCACCCTCATATTGTATGTTAATATGAAAATGATATTGGAGCAAAGTGGCCTAATCGTCTAAGGCGTTGCAATTCGCTGTGCAGAGTTGCGTCCCTTCGGCGTGCCAGGAACCTATGATAGTGGGTTCGAATCTCACTTCGACCTCATTACCCGTGTTAAAACTTGTGAATGCCTTCATCACAAGTGTCTTTCCTCAAACAAGGGGGCGGTCGGGTAGCCTAGTGGTTAAAGCGTTCCCTCGTCACGCCGAAGACCCGGGTTCGATTCCCGACATGGGTACAATGTGTGAAGCCCATTTCTGGTGTCCCCCGCCGTGATATTGCTGGAATATTGCTAAAAGCGGCGTAAAACCATACTCACTCACTCACTCACTCAAACAAGGGTAGACTAGTGTTCGCTCGTCAAGCCGAAGCCCCGGGTTGGATTCCCGACATGGGTACAATATGTGAAGCCAATTTCTGTGATATTGCTGGAATATTGCTAAAAGCGGCGTAAAATATGCTCAATAACTCACATTCCGCCAACGCTAACTGACATACTGTTCAAAGCTGTTTTATACTCTACTCACACGCGCAGTCAAGTTGGCATTTGATGTCCATATTATTAATTATTTTCCTTTGTTGCGTTAATTCAGAGCACGGTCACGCGCACGTCACGCACTGGGCATGACAAGCGGAAAGGGGAGTCATCAGATACACGCAGTGGGCTACGTTAATGTGGATACAGGTATGACGCTTGCATACGATATGTAATACGGACTACATTCCATAACATACAGTATCTATGTGCTTTAACTTTCATCAATTATTTATGTACTGTAAACAATTATTTATGTACTGTAAATATTTTCTGCAAGGACAATTTGAATTAAATAACTTTTCCTAACCGTGATCTGCATCGTCATTTCCAATTTCGTATCAAACGAAGTCTCGTGTGGAATTATTTACAGGATACATTCCTGGTGATGGACATGCAAACCTCGTCTCATTTTCCTATTATATGTGGGGGGCACAGGTGGCCGAGTCATCTAAGGCGTTGCGTTCCCTGGGCTGAAAACTATGATCGTGGGTCGAATCCCGGTTCACCCCGATTATGTTTCTAGGTGTGTCAGCACCATACTCGTGCGCGTGGGTTTCACCGAAGTAGTAAACGTCTGAGACCTGCATCACTTTCTGGCTTTCCTCCCACATTGGGCTGAAACGCTGTGATATATATCTGGAATACTGTTAAAAGTGGCGTTAAACCAAACTCACTTACTCATATGGTATGTGTTTAATGTACATTGTATTACGTACGATGATCTGTTATTTCACGCCATTAATGAAACGTCTTGCCCTTGACGTGAGTGAGTGAGTTTGGTGTTACGCCGCTTTTAGCAATATTCCAGCACTGTCACGGCGGGGGACACCAGAAATGGGCTTCACAAATTTTACCAATGTCGGGAAACGAACCCGGGTCTTCGGCGGGACGAGCGAACGCGTTAACAACTAGGCTACCCGACAGCCCCTCCCTGACGGGAGAAAGATGCATATGAAAACGTGATGAATGGGGAATGTTGACAGACGTGTCCATCTTAACTTAACATAGACTGCTGAATTGTGTGTGAAATTTGGGAAAGCATTTGTCATAACGCAATCGTCTTTACTGTTATGAGCAAATATTTTACACATTTTACTCCGCAGAGCTTGACAAGCTGGAACTGGCGATCTAGGTTCTCTCCAGGGTTCTGATTGTATATTCATAGTGTCGTTTATTGTATCCACAGTGTTCTGATTGCGTATTCATGTTGTTCTGATTGCGTATTCTCGGTGTTTTCATTGTGCATGCTTAGTGTTCTGATTGTGTGTTGACGCGAGTGAGTGAGGTGGGTATTTGACGTTTACCTCTTTGGATGAACAGTCATAATCAGGGTTATTTGAGATTCGAACCCAAGGAAGTTAACTGAATGTCAGTATTATAACATGGTAACACACAGTCTGTTTGTTCATAATCAGCTATAACAGCTATATGAAGGCAGTTTGGACCAGGCAAACCAGTGTTCATGATCGAGAATGTTACAGGCAAACCAGTGGATATGATCGAGTCTGGGACAGGAAAACCAGTGTAGATGATGGAGTCTTGGACAGGCAAACCAAACTTAGATGATCGAGTCTTGGACAAGCAAACGAGTGTAGTTGATCGAGTCTTGGACAGGCAAACAAGTGTAGATGATCGAGTCTGGGACAGGCAAACTAGAGTAGATGATCGGGTCTTGGACAAGCAAACTAGAGTAGATGATCGGGTCTTGGACAGGCAAACCAGTGTAGATGATCGAGTCTTGGACAGGCAAACCAGTGTAGATGATCGACTCTTGGACAAGCAAACCAGTGTAGATGATCGAGTCTGGGACAGACAAACCAGTGTAGATGATCGAGTCTTGGACAGGCAAACCAGTGTAGATGATCGAGTCTTGGACAAGCAAACCAGTGTAGATGATCGAGTCATGGACAGGCAAACCAGTGTAGATGATCGAGTCTGGGACAGTCACACCAATGTAGACGATCGAGTCTTGGACAGGCAAACCACTTTTTACGCCACTTTCAGCATTATCCCAGCAATATCATGTCGGGGGACACCACAAATGGGCATCACACATTGTACCCATGTCGGGAATCGAACCCTGATCTTCGGCGTGACGAGCGAACGCTTTAACCACAAGGCTACCCGACCGGCCCTCTTGGACAAGCAAACCAGTGTAGATGATTAAGTCTTAGATAGGCAAACCAATGGACGAGTCATGGACAGGCAAACAAAGAGTAGATGATCGAGTCTTGGACAGGCAAATCACTGCAGATGATCGAGTGTGTTATTTTATTGTCGAATCACCGACCTTCGGCTCTCTGGGCAAACGCTTTATCCACTAGACCGTGGGGGCAGGCCAGTTACTACTGTTCCGCTATTCATAGTGAGTTAGTGAGTGAATGAGTTGGGCTTAACGCCGCTTTTAACAGTATTCCTCCGCTATTCATAAAATGTGATGCTGAACCATTGGTTTCAGTGACATGTTAATCAAAAGTAGATTCGAAAATTAACATGAAGGACACGTTGTACCTTCGATGGATTTTACATGTACTGATAAAAAACACAGTATTTACCTAAACAGAAAATATACATAAATAACTGTAATCTGAGTTGTGACGAGAATGTGTTAACTTTGTTTAATACGTGAGTAGCTGTCATAAAGCTTTGTTCTTTCATAAAACAATGCACGTAAATCACAACATTCAGAACAAAAGTACATGCATGTTCCCACTGTAATATATTTGGGACAGAGCCAAACAATGGAACTTTTCGGTGTGGATACTTAAAAATATCTTTCCGCCTCCGTGGTCTAGTGGTAGAGCGTCCGCCCAGAGAGCGGAAGGTCCGGGGTTCGATCCCCGGCCGCGTCATACCAAAAGACGTTAAAAGATGGTAATTTTTGTTACCCTGTCTGGCGCTCGGTATTGAGGGGCTAAAACAAGGACTGGTCGGCTCGGAGTCAGTATACTGTGTCTGAGTTGGGTATTCATGTTCAACAGCGGCATGGTATCTCAGTGAGCTAGTACTATAAATCGGCATCAGTCCGGACTAGTACAAGCAGCCACACAAATACACACACACACGTACATGCACGTCGCTATATAAGTGCAATAATCTTTGACGCGATGTTAAACCCCATTTCACCTCACCTTAAAATACCTTTACAAGTAAAAACGTTTCCTATTTTAAGGTTAACAGCCCGACTTATTGATTTTGATGACGGATATTTCGCTCTTGGTACAATTGTTCTCCTGAAGTTGGAACCCGTGCTCATGGGTTTCACCAAAGTAGTAAAGGTCTGAGACCTGCACCACTTCGGGCTTTCCTCCCAAACAAGCTGACGCGCCGTGATATAACCAAAATACTGTTCAAACCCAACTTTTACCGTCAGAGTTCTTTTCGAAAAATGCAAACATGTATGAATAATGCAAGTGCTCTGAAACTAGTAGGTGTTGAGTGACTGAGTTGGGTATGTATGAATAATGCAAGTGCTCTGAAACTAGTAGGTGTTGAGTGACTGAGTTTGGTATGTATGAATAATGCAAGTGCTCTGAAACTAGTAGGTGTTGAGTGACTGAGTTGGGTATGTATGAATAATGCAAGTGCTCTGAAACTAGTAGGTGTTGAGTGAGTGAGTTGGGTATGTATGAATAATGCAAGTGCTCTGAAACTAGTAGGTGTTGGGTGACTGAGTTGGGTATGTATGAATAATGCAAGTGCTCTGAAACTAGTAGGTGTTCGATGACTGAGTTGGGTATGTATGGATAATGCAAGTGCTCTGAAACTAGTAGGTGTTCGGTGACTGAGTTGGGTATGTATGGATAATGCAAGTGCTCTGAAACTAGTAGGTGTTCGATGACTGAGTTGGGTATGTATGAATAATGCAAGTGCTCTGAAACTAGTAGGTGTTGGGTGACTGAGTTGGGTATGTATGGATAATGCAAGTGCTCTGAAACTAGTAGGTGTTGAGTGAGTGAGTTGGGTATGTATGGATAATGCAAGTGCTCTGAAACTAGTAGGTGTTGGGTGACTGAGTTGGGTATGTATGAATAATGCAAGTGCTCTGAAACTAGTAGGTGTTCGGTGACTGAGTTGGGTATGTATGGATAATGCAAGTGCTCTGAAACTAGTAGGTGTTGGGTGACTGAGTTGGGTATGTATGAATAATGCAAGTGCTCTGAAACTAGTAGGTGTTCGGTGACTGAGTTGGGTATGTATGGATAATGCAAGTGCTCTGAAACTAGTAGGTGTTGGGTGACTGAGTTGGGTATGTATGGATAATGCAAGTGCTCTGAAACTAGTAGGTGTTCGGTGACTGAGTTGGGTATGTATGGATAATGCAAGTGCTCTGAAACTAGTAGGTGTTCGATGACTGAGTTGGGTATGTATGGATAATGCAAGTGCTCTGAAACTAGTAGGTGTTGGGTGACTGAGTTGGGTATGTATGAATAATGCAAGTGCTCTGAAACTAGTAGGTGTTCGGTGACTGAGTTGGGTATGTATGAATAATGCAAGTGCTCTGAAACTAGTAGGTGTTCGGTGACTGAGTTGGGTATGTATGGATAATGCAAGTGCTCTGAAACTAGTAGGTGTTCGATGACTGAGTTGGGTATGTATGAATAATGCAAGTGCTCTTAAACTAGTAGGTGTTGGGTGACTGAGTTGGGTATGTATGAATAATGCAAGTGCTCTGAAACTAGTAGGTGTTCGGTGACTGAGTTGGGTATGTATGGATAATGCAAGTGCTCTGAAACTAGTAGGTGTTGGGTGACTGAGTTGGGTATGTATGAATAATGCAAGTGCTCTGAAACTAGTAGGTGTTCGGTGACTGAGTTGGGTATGTATGGATAATGCAAGTGCTCTGAAACTAGTAGGTGTTGGGTGACTGAGTTGGGTATGTATGGATAATGCAAGTGCTCTGAAACTAGTAGGTGTTCGGTGACTGAGTTGGGTATGTATGGATAATGCAAGTGCTCTGAAACTAGTAGGTGTTCGATGACTGAGTTGGGTATGTATGGATAATGCAAGTGCTCTGAAACTAGTAGGTGTTGGGTGACTGAGTTGGGTATGTATGAATAATGCAAGTGCTCTGAAACTAGTAGGTGTTCGGTGACTGAGTTGGGTATGTATGAATAATGCAAGTGCTCTGAAACTAGTAGGTGTTCGGTGACTGAGTTGGGTATGTATGGATAATGCAAGTGCTCTGAAACTAGTAGGTGTTCGATGACTGAGTTGGGTATGTATGAATAATGCAAGTGCTCTTAAACTAGTAGGTGTTGGGTGACTGAGTTGGGTATGTATGAATAATGCAAGTGCTCTGAAACTAGTAGGTGTTCGGTGACTGAGTTGGGTATGTATGGATAATGCAAGTGCTCTGAAACTAGTAGGTGTTCGGTGACTGAGTTGGGTATGTATGAATAATGCAAGTGCTCTGAAACTAGTAGGTGTTGAGTGACTGAGTTGGGTATGTATGGATAATGCAAGTGCTCTGAAACTAGTAGGTGTTGAGTGAGTGAGTTGGGTATGTATGAATAATGCAAGTGCTCTGAAACTAGTAGGTGTTAAGTGAGTGAGATGGGTATGTATGAATAATGCAAGTGCTCTGAAACTAGTAGGTGTTGGGTGACTGAGTTGGGTATGTATGAATAATGCAAGTGCTCTGAAACTAGTAGGTGTTGGGTGACTGAGTTGGGTATGTATGAATAATGCAAGTGCTCTGAAACTAGTAGGTGTTGAGTGAGTGAGTTGGGTATGTATGAATAATGCTAGTGCTCTGAAACTAGTAGGTGTTGAGTGACTGAGTTGGGTATGTATGAATAATGCAAGTGCTCTGAAACTAGTAGGTGTTGAGTGACTGAGTTTGGTATGTATGAATAATGCAAGTGCTCTGAAACTAGTAGGTGTTGGGTGACTGAGTTGGGTATGTATGAATAATGCAAGTGCTCTGAAACAAGTAGGTGTTGAGTGAGTGAGTTGGGTATGTATGAATAATGCAAGTGCTCTGAAACTAGTAGGTGTTGAGTGAGTGAGTTGGGTATGTATGAATAATGCAAGTGCTCTGAAACTAGTAGGTGTTGGGTGACTGAGTTGGGTATGTATGAATAATGCAAGTGCTCTGAAACTAGTAGGTGTTGAGTGAGTGAGTTGGGTATGTATGAATAATGCAAGTGCTCTGAAACTAGTAGGTGTTGAGTGACTGAGTTGGGTATGTATGAATAATGCAAGTGCTCTGAAACTAGTAGGTGTTGGGTGACTGAGTTGGGTATGTATGAATAATGCAAGTGCTCTGAAACTAGTAGGTGTTGAGTGACTGAGTTACGTTTAACGTTTTTTTAAACAGCATGTCATGTATATCGCGTCAGCTTGATGTGGGAGGAAGTCCCGAAGTGGTGCAGGTCTCAGACTGCAGATATTATCTGGGCCAGCCGGGATTTGAACCCATGTACAACCCATGGCAGGTTTGCAAAGCGAATGGCAGCGCCTTGCCCCGTACGGTCTTGGTGTTCTTCGTTGTACATGTAGGTGTCTAGGCAGCTGCACTGGATCTTGTAGACTAGGCCTTATTTAATGTCGGAACATTTTGTGTTCTGGATTCGGTCGAGTAGCCTGGTGGTTAAAACGTTCGCTCGTCCCGCCGAAGACCAGGGTTCGATTCCCGACATGGGTACAATTTGTGAAGCCCATTTCTGGTGTCCCCCGCCGTGATAGTGCTGGAATATTGCTAAAAGCGGCGTAAAGCCTTACTCACACACTCTGGATTATTGAATGCTTTAGGGTAATATTGTTTATATACGTAAAACGTGTCAGTATTGAATTGTTGCATCTTCCTATTTTCTGCCTGGCTTAACCTATGTACGCATCATCCACATGACTCGTGTTGTCGACCTACCACAAATTCAACTGATTCATCATCGCAATTACCAACATCGAAAGAGGACATCAAGAGACAATGTCTGCTACCCACGCTACCATTCTGCAATATCCCTTAAAAACAGAATGTCGATATACACAAATGGGTACAAGTTTGTGACTGGTAATTAGTTATAATACCACAGAAATGTACATGTGACGTGCACTGTTGTTACCAATTAATGTGATCCAGTGGGGTAGCCTGGTGGTTAAAGCGTTCGCTCGTTATCCCGACGACCGGGTTCGATTCCCACTCGTGTGAAGCCATTGTTATCGTATCCCCCGCAGTGATATTGCTGGGATAATGCTAAAACTGGCGTAAAACCAAACTCACTCATTCGCTCATAGTGATCTGACACAATTAGCTTACATATGAAGCCACAATCGTTTAAGTACGTACACATGAATTATTATTTTCAGCATGGTTGTGGCCGTACCGGAAGACTCCGATGAAAAGCGTAAGCAGTTGGTCAACGGCATTCAATGTGATGGAGAAATATCCCTTTAAAATGGCCTTTACTCAGGTAAAAATTGGACAAGAAAGAGTGAAATAGAAAATATTCTAGTGTCGCACGTCACATAATTTACATGACAACAATGCATAATATATTGTCAACTTAAACAAAAAATGTTACATCTCAAATGATGCTACTGCCACACGTGTATTGCTGTAGAAATACACATATTCGCCCATGATATGAATCACTGGATTGTCTGCTTGAGACTCGATTATTTACAGTCCGCCGTCATATAGCTGGAATATTGTTGAGTGCGGCGTTAAACAACAAACCAAACAACGACAATGCGTGTGTATCCTTCCAATAACTCATAAGTCCTATAGTCCAGAATTATCATCGCCAAAAACAGAACTAGAATGAGTTTTTGTTTTGTGTGTTGTTTAACGCCGCACTCAGAAATATTCCCGCTATATGCCGGTCTGGAAATTTGAGTCTGGACCAGACAATCCAGTTATTGGTATCATGAGCATCGATCCACGCAATTGGGATCGATGACATGCTTCAACCAAGTCAGCGAGCCTGACCACCCGATCCCGTTAGTCGCCTCTTCAGACAAGCATGGTCGCCTTTTACGGCAAGCATGGGTTACTGAAGACCTATTCTACCCCGGATCTTCACGGGTCCATTGTCAAAGAGGGTGTCTTCGCAATTAGGATACGATGACATGCATCAAACCAAGCCAGTGAACCCTTCCTCGGCATCATCAGCAGGTTTGTTGTATCAGTGCAGACATGGCTTCATAGAAATGACCATTCACAGACACAGGGTCACACAGAAAGAAGTAGTTATGGTCAGTATCTGTTATTAAAAACACATACATGGAAATACTTTGGACGCAAATCAGGCCATGCTTGGTTTACTTCCTGTATTACGAAAAAAACACTATAACTTCTAACAAATGAAGCATAACATGTCAGGGTGGATTTGCGGACAATGTCCTCATAGCCATGGAAGTTAACTGTTTTACAAATATACAATTATTCGTGTAGACAGGAGTATTAACAATCAGTTTTCAATCTTATAAAAAACATGAAAATAAATTGTTTTAGCCCAAAGGCCTGATGATTGTCATAACATACGGTTCGCCCTCATTTCATTATGAAAGAAGGTCATTTGAAAGAGAATATTCGTAACCAGATTAAAGAGCAAGAATACTTTTTTAAAAACATCATCATTTGACATTCCGCACTTAAATCCTAATACTATGCATGCCTTTCTGGAACAATCTGTAGCGTAAAGGGAATGTGGATTTGCCATGAACTAGTCAGCCAAGGGTTGGGTTCGACTCCTCATAAGGATACAATGGGTGAGGCCCATTTCTTGTGTCCCCCTCCACGAGATTGGTTGTTTATCGCTGAGAGGGGCGTAAAACTCTATTCACTCGCCACACAATGGCGTAAAAGTGTTTGTTTTCATTCATATTCAGAAATAGTGGAATCATTTTAAACCATTTAATCGGCTTGTTCTCGTCACGGTTATTCTAAATATATTCAGATGTCGGTTTGTTTTCAGCCACAGCAATTACAGTGGGTCAGCGAAAAGTACCCGGACTTTTACATCAGGGTGAAACACTTCATCAACACCGGCCAGCTTATTCCAGTCGGCGCTACCTGGATAGAAATGGTCAGTCCCGGGTTCGATTTCCAAATGTCCCCAGCCGTGATTCCTGAGAAATTGCGTTCACTGAAACTGTATTTGACAGTTTCGAAGATCTGGACGAAAGAGACAGTGACATTTAGATTAGCATCTTTTCTTCAGTTCTAACCAGAAGTAATCTGAAAGTTTCATTGTGGGACTTTATTATTAAAAAGACTGCCTCCGTGGTCTAGTGGTAGAGCGTCCACTCAGAGAGCGGAAGGTCCGGGATTCGATCCAACTGAAATAATAATTTGACTGACAGCTGCATTATCTTAACCATCTCTTTTACAATAGGAAGCTTTAATTCCGGTCTCAATGCACCCGGGGCGGTCGGGTAGCCTAGTGGCTCGTCACGCCGAAGACCCGGGTTCGAATCCCGACATGGGTACAATGTGTGAAGCCCATTTCTGGTGTCCCCCGTGATATTGCTGGAATATTGCTAAAAGCGGCGTAAAACCGTACTCACTCACTCACTCACTCAATGCACCCCCTCCGACTTACAATAATCATAATTGTGAGTGAGTGAGTTGGGTTTAACGCTGCTTTTAACAGTACTCCAGTTATATCACAGCGTGTCAGCTTAATGTGGGAGGAAAGCCCGAAGTGATGTGGGTCTTAGACGTTTACCACTTTGGTGAAACCCACGAGCACGGGTATGGTGCTGACAAACCTAGAAACATAATCGGGGCGCACCGGGATTCGAACCCACAATCATACGTTTTTGGCGTGCCCAAGGGACGTAACTCTGCACTGCGAATCGCGACGCCTTAGACGACCGGGCCACCCGTGCCCCCAACAATAATCATAAACGTGATTCACATCATCTGTGAACTTCATCATGTACCGTATCACAATGGTATATTGAGCTCGTTCTGTTTATTTCATTGTTTGCATTTGAAATTAGCTGAATAACAATACCAAGAAAATCACTAACACTGCTTTAATATTTTACAGCTTCTCATTGCATATTCCGTTTAATAACTACTACCGAAAGATACGCTTCAGATTTTCACCGTTACGAGTTTGCAGCAAACGGACTCTTGCACAGGCACTCGCGCACACACACACGCACGCACGCACGCACGCACGCACGCGCGCGAGCATGCACATCACTATATAAGTGCAATAATCTTGGACGCGACGATAATTCTATATCATGAATTTAGTATTGCGGACAAGTTTTAATTCCCTTTTCAAGATGCATGTAGATTTATCACTGTTTTGTTACAGGATGCAAACATGCCAAACGGAGAGTGCCTATTGCGACAGTTCCTGTATGGCCAAAAGTTCCTTGAAAACGAATTTGGTACAAGGTGTACCGACGTGAGTTGTTTGTATGTTAATGACTTAACGTCCGTCAGGCGCTGTCGGATCAAGGGAGTTAAACAATATAGGCTCGTATCTGTAACATTAAAATGAGTCCCACAAAATTATGGATACAAATGGTAACAACACATCTTACGAATGTTTGGAAGTTCAATGACGACATCAAGTGTTCGCAAAACTGGTATTCATAATGTTCCTAGTCCGTAGTGTACCTCGTACGTCACGACACACACCTCTCGTACGTCACGACACACACCTCTCGTACGTCACGACACACACCTCTCGTACGTCACGACAAACACCTCTCGTACGTCACGACACACACCTCTCGTACGTCACGACAAACACCTCTCGTACGTCACGACACACACCTCTCGTACGTCACGACACACACCTCTCGTACGTCACGACACACACCTCTCGTACGTCACTATGGAACCATTTCGAACGTCACTATAAACACTTCCTACATATGTATTCGCCTCTCATACGCCAGTGTAGACGCATCTCGGACGTACCCATAAATACTAAAGACATCTTAAACTTCACTATAGACACCTCGCATTGTATACTCCTCTCGTACGACAATATGGACACCCTACGTAAGCCACGATAGACACCTCACGTAAGTCACCACATGTATATACTACTCTCGTACGACAATATGGACACCCCACGTAAGCCACGATAGACACCTCACGTAAGTCACCACATGTATATACTCCTCACGTTCGACAATATGGACACCTGACGTAAGCCACGATAGACACCTCACGTAAGTCACCACATTGTATACTCCGCTCGCACGACAATATAGACACCCTACGTAAGCCACGATAGACACCTCACGTAAGTCACCACATTGTATACTCCGCTCGTACGACAATATGGACACCCTACGTAAGCCACCATAAACACCTCACGTAAGTCACCACATGTATATACTCATCACGTTCGACAATATTGACACCCCACGTAAGCCACGATAGACACCTCACCTAAGTCACCACATGTATATATTACTCTCGTACGACAATATGGACACCCCACGTAAGCCACGATAGACACCTCACGTAGGTCACCACATTGTATACTCCGCTCGTACGACAATATAGACACCTCGCGTAAGCCACGACAGACACCTCACGTAGGTCACCACATTGTATACTCCTCTCGTACGACAATATGGACACCCTACGTAAGCCACGACAGACACCTTACGTAAGTCACCACATTGTATACTCCTCTCGTCAAAATGGACATATCACGTATGTCTAGTCCAGTAAATATGACATGATCGCAATCGATGAAAAGCTACACTTTCTTGTCAATGTATGTTTCAGACTTGAACCCTTATACGAACGCAACACACCCCAATGGATCTATAGCCTGACAATCTTATAGTGGATATTGTGTCCGTTGAAGAGCTCAGTATGAATAATGTGTCATGTCTGTTTCCTCAGCTGTGGCTACTCGACAGCTTCGGCTATTCGGCTCAGCTGCCCCAGATCATGAAGCACTGTGACGTCACGAGATTCGTCACCATCAAACTCAGCTGGAACTCCGTCAACAAATTCCCGGTTTGTGATTCTCTACGTCGGTAAGGTTTAGACATGTTGACATACTGGAAATGCACAATTTCATAAGTATATATTTGATGGACGTAGGGAAATGTTTTGGAGTGCCTTCAGGCACAATCAGCAATATACCAGCTATATATTGATGGACGTAGGTTTATGTCTTTGGGGTGTCTTAAGGCCACAATCAGCAATGCACTGATACATCAAACATGATGATGATGCTGAGGAACAGGTCTTCAGCAACCCATGCTTGCCGTAATGGCGACTATGTCTGTCGTAAGAGGCGACTAACGGGATCGGGTGGTCAGGCTCGCTGACTTGGTTGATGCATGTCAACGTATCCCAATTGCGTTGATCGATGCTCATGATATCAATCACTGGATTGTCTTGTCCAGCCTCAATTATTTACAGACCGCCGTCATATTGCTGGAATATTGCTGAGTGCGCGCTGAAGAACAAACAAACAGATCACTGGGGCTGTTATCTTTCAGCACAACACATTCTGGTGGGAGGGGCTGGGAGGACACCGGGTGTTGACGCACTTTCCCCCAGGCACAAATTACCACAAGGAAGTCACAGTGGATGAGGTAAGTTCTCTTGTCTTGGGGTAGGGTGGAGGGGGGGGGGGGGGGGGGGAGGGATTCGGATGGGGATGCACGGGTGACCCAGTCATGTAAGTCGAGTTTGGATCAATATAGAAGACAGTGTAGTTAATGGAAGCTAAAATTGTATGTCATCTTCCCGAGCCAAGGGACATTTACTGAGTATAAAAAAGTCCTGTTTCCACCCTTGCCGAACTCACCTGGAATTTCGTGGCCCGATCGTAGCGGTGGCTACTACGAGTTATGTCCCTCTTATGTCTCCTTTATTGACCAATCATATTTCACCTCTCACACCACTTGCATTTGCTTCAAACAAAGTGGTCCCGCCTGGTCATGACGATCAGATCGATAATTAAGATCTATATAAAATAAAACCTTGATTAAAACCATGGAATGGTTTGGAAGATATCTGTCGACGTCCAGTTGACGGAACACATGCTTTGTGAATCCTGCAGTCGATCGAAATCAGCGCAGAAGTCGCCCTGTTGTTTACGAACAGTATGTCTACTTCGTAACGCGATTTTGATTGGACTAAGCGTAGACTCGTTACCCTCGTTAGTCAATTAAGCCCAAGGTAAGTGAAAACGGAGTAAACACATAGATGTACTGCATTCATGGTACGGTTAAGAGACAGCACGGGTGGCCAAGTTGCATTAGAGTCCGCAATTCGCCGTGCAGAGATGTGTTCTATGATCGTGGGTTCGAATCCCGGTTCGCACCGATTATGTTTCTAGATTTGTCAGCATTATACCCGTGCCCGTGGGTTTCACCAAAGTGGTAAACGTCTGAGACCTGCATCACTTAGGGCTTTCCTCCCACATTAAGCTGCCACGCCGCGATATAACTGGAATACTGTGAAAAGCGGCGTAAAACCCAACTCACTCACTCACTCCTCCCATCGCAAGCTGACACGCCGTGATATAACTGAAAGACGGCCTTGAACCAAACTCACATGCTCTCTCGTCTTCCATGTACTCTGTTGAAAAACGCTCGTTCTATAGCAGTTGCCCTGACATATTTGTGTTTAAAAATAAACATTATTTATTCCCAGCATTACTGTTTGATTATTTCATGCCTTGCAGGTTTAACCTAGCTTGAGCAACTTTTTTTTAACATGTGTTTGTGGAATATTTATAGAAAAGAGTTTTTAGGTTGTGTGTGAAATATTAATTTGCATGCTTTTGTACTTTTATTATATTTTGTGTTTAGTTGCTGGAAGTGGAGAGGGAATTTTCCGAATCCCGGAGGTCAAATTCAAGTCTCTTCCTGTTCGGACACGGGAATGCTGGGATTGGTCCAAGGTGAACAAAATAGGCCCCTTTTACCGACTGGTTGTAATAGTCGATTAATGAAGATCGGGTGGTCCCAATGAATGACCCAATCTCATTCAAATCAGATCTTAGTTCTCGCTACCCCAAAACAAATATCTGAGGACATCCCATTACGGGTCACGTCAGACCGACCTTGCGCGATCCAATGGAGTGGCCAATCAGAAGGCAGCTTTCTCGTGCTTTACGGCACTAATGTCAAATTGGCGCCTGCGCTTCGAAACATATTTAGACAAATTCTTGATTACAAATTTGAAACCTGAACAAAAAAAACATTCTGGAATGGCTAATAGATGGTCTAGATTGTATTCAGTCGTTAAACCCGTAACTATCGTTCGGAATGCCGCGTGTTAAAGTTTTCGAGGTTGCATGATTAGAAATCACATTCCGACTGTCACTTTCATAATCTGGTAAGGGACGCTCTGATTGGTCGGATGAAAGGTCGTTCTGACGTGCACACTAATGGGATGTCTTCAGACCTTTGTTTAGCGGTAGCGAGAACTAAGGTCTGATTTTAATGAGATTGTGAATGATCTGGCTGATTATGTGTCAACGTCCGGCACGAGTGGCCAAGCGTTTGAGGCGTTGAAATTAGCTGTGCTGAGTAGCGTCTCTTAAACGTACCAGAATCCCATGATCGTATCTTCGAGTCATGGTTCACCGTGATTATGTTTCTGGCTTTGTCAGAACCGTCTTTGTGCTCGTGTGTTTTACCAAAGTGACAAACGTTTAGAATTTGCTAACTTCAGACAGCCTCCCACATGAAGCTGACACGCCGTGATATAACTTGAATACTGTTCAAAGCGGAGGTTCACTCGCTCACTCACTCACTCAACCACCCGACCCGTGAAGATCCGGAGTAGAATAGGTCTTCAGCAACCAATGCTTGCCCTGAAAGGCGACAATACTTATAAGAGGCGACTAACGGGATCGTGGTCAGGCTCGCTGACATTTGCGGGGATCGATGCTCGTGATGTCAATCACTGGATTGTCTGGTCCAGACTCGATTATTTATAGACCGCCGTAATATAGCTGGAATATTGCTGAGTGCGGCGTTATGCAACAAATAAAAAAAACCCTCAACCACCCAAAACCTACTCACTCACTCAGCGTGTCACATGACATGATTCAATGATGGGAACATGATTCGAACTGCGAACTCCCAAGTCCAGATTCGAATATTTACAGGCTATTATATTGGCCGGAATATCGCAAACTGCTGCTTTCACATCTATTTCTGATAAAGAAATTTAAAACTAAAACCGCTACATTTTACAACGTCACATTCTTGTGTCTTCTTAGGTAACGCTTACAGTAAACGTGGCGGTGAGGTAGGCAAGTGGTTAAAGCGTTCGCTTGTCACGCCCCGGGTGCGATATCCCCACATGGGCACAACATGTGAAACCCACTTCTAGTGTCCCCCGCCGTGGTATTGCTGGAAAACTCTCACTCACTCCCTCACTCACTCACTCACCCAAACACCCACCCACCCACCCACCCACCCACTCACTCACTCACTCACTCACTATACGATGTCAAATTCATTAACATGATTAACTTCTCTTTTGTAGTGAAGAAATGTTAGAAAAACTGCAAAGGATGAAAAGTCTGAATGGACTCCCAAGGTAATATATTCCCTATATGAACTACAGTGAAACCTCGTTAATGCAGACGGGGCTGTATAGATAACTCTATGGGGAATCAGTCCCCGTCAATGTATGCTGGTGATCGGGATTTAAATAATTGGGTGGTCAGTCTCCGTGACTTGGTCCACTGAGTGTCATCGACGATATCGATTGTTGTTCATAATATCATTCACTGGATTGTCTTATCCAGACTTGATTATTGACAGCCCGCCTTCGTGTAGCTGGAATATTGCTGGGTGCAGCATTAAACAAAGTCTTTTTAACAAACAAAAATGCAATCGGTATGATTAACGAATTATAAATACGTGAGTGGACTGCCGAACAGCACTGGTCAGAAAAGTCATATTTCCGGATTAACGAGGTCCGGAAAATAGGGGTTTCACTGTAATGAGATGATTTTAAAGATTGATCAGACTAACCATGTGATAAACTCATTTATCTCCTTGTACTTTAATGACTGCTAGGATGGCACAGTCGTCTTGGGATTGTGGGTTCGAATCCCGGTTCGTCCCGCTTATGTTTCTAGATTTGTCAGCACCATACCCGTGCCCGTGTGTTTCACCGAAGTGGTAAACGTAGCTCTTTTCAACTACTGCTAACACACTTAAAATGCAAGGAAAGCATCCCAAACATATATTTTTATATATAAATACATTGTGTTGATAACCACGTACTTAACCCACAGAAATAACATTCCAGTGAGTTTATATATATATACAACAATGTTCGATATATCAAGTTTCAAAAAGTTCTCACACCCCACACTAAGTCATATTTAATGACGATTGTACGATAAATGCTGTACCAAACTTCCCTAAACAGTTTTGTACCTTTGTATATATATGTACACATACTGTTCGGAGTACAGTACAGTAAAACATTTATATATATATATATATATATATATATATATATATATATATGTATGTATATATATATATATATATATATATATATATATATATATGTAACTGTTTAACTATTTATATATATATATACACACACACACACACACACACACACACACACACACAGTTATTATATTTGTGAACAGTAATCCTTATACAACTATTGATATGTAAAGGGACCTTTGATATATACATCTTTACTTAATCCGTTACTTGTTGGAGACATGTCAAGTAAGTTGAATGTTTGCTTTTATGTGTTCACCAGTGCAAAATGCTTTTCTTTCTGATTAGTATCAATATTAATCAATATTTTCTATGTATTCCCTTGAGCTGTAAATTTACCCAAATAATATTATGTTGAATCGCCGTAAAATATCCAGCTTTGGCCATGTAAAAAATTCCTTGTTTCTCATCATCATGTTCGGCACTCTCAGTTTTCAAACTTTTCTTTCCAAAGATTACTTGAGCCAGGTTAATGTATTATAATATCTTCTGTAAAGAGTTCATACAACATGGGATATATTCCAATGTTAACATGAGCAAAATACATGTGAGCAATGAACCCCAAAATCAGCAACTTTATCAAATGCTAAAGTGTTTTTGAGTAATCTGTCGAAAAATTAATATGTAGAAAATAAAATAATAAAACCTACCGCTTTACCCATATTGTTGTTAACAAAGGATGAGAAACAAGGACATTTTTTTAATGTCCTTAAAGAACGCGTGTAAAAGGGACATCACTCTCATCCTTCAGTCAATAGGATATATATCAATAAAGTACAAAACACACAGAGTATTTCTCAAATAAATAAGAAAACTAAGTTCATTCTAGTAATTAATCCTCTTCTGGACAACCATAGAAATGAAATTTCTATGCGTTTATATATACATATAATTATACAACAATGTACGATAACGACCTCAATTGCAATCCTCCCCCACACCCATACTTTAATGACGATTGTACGATAAACCCTGTACCAACCCTGACAAGGATAGGTTCTAGTCATTTAACGCATTTGACACTAAACTTATAAGGTTATTACAATTTACGTATAAAGTTATTACATTTTACCGCGTTGAGATTTGTTGAGATTATTACAATTAACGTCAATTTTTTTATAATTTACCTTTTCATTACAATTTACGTCGTAACACTGCTCAATAAGTTAAAGAAACAAATATTAATGTTTTTGTTTTAAACCATACCTAATCTCCAACCAGGATGGAAAAAATCCCGTAAGTACACAATCATGTTGCTTCTGTACAGAATCCAACTGAGTACCCCTGAGACTTTCTACGAGTCAGTGGAGAGGGACACTACAAGACTGTGTACCTGGGTCGGGGAACTATACTTGGAGAGACACCAGGGCACTTATACCTCTCAGGCTCAAGTAAGTTTGAACGTATGGACGGTCGCGATCGTTAAAGGAATTCATCGAGCGATATCCAAAGGCGGGAGGCCATAAGTAACACGTGACCAAATATGTCACAATCGAATTCCCTTTTTGAACACACCACTGTTAATCACCACGACAATACTAAGATTGCATGTATGATATTAATACGTCGAAAGCCCTAGTGACACTAAACCCCGTACTTTGTTTTGGCGTTAACAGTCATGTGAGTGAGCTCTCGGTGGCTGCTTTTAAAGTGAGTTTTGGGTAAAGTTGTCTTTCCTACATTCTGAGGTGAGGTGGTGAGGTGAAATGGGGTTTAACGTCGCGTCCAAGATTATTGCACTTATATAGTGACGTGCATGTATGTTGTGTGTTTGTGTGCCTCCTTGTACTAGTCCGGACTGATGCCGATTTATAGTGCTAGCTCACTGAGATACCATGCCGCAGTTTAACATGAATACCCCACTCAGACACAGTATACTTACTCCGAGCCGACCAGTCCATGTTTTAGCCCCTTAATGCCGAGCGCCAGACAGGGTAACAACAATTACCATCTTTTAACGTCTTTTGGTATGACGCGGCCGGTGATCGAACCCCGGACCTTACGCTCTCCGGGCGGACGCTCAACCACTAGACCACGGAGGCGGTCTCCTACATTCTGACGCTATCGCGATCAAACAAGCCAGCGTAATGACTATCTTGGTCACTTTGATGAGAACAGCTGTTCATGACTGTATAAAAGTGGGACTTGGCTTGGGCAAAAGAGCAGCCTTTCAGTATATCACTGAGTTCTATCAACACACCCATCAAATTCATCCAACTCGGGAGCACGGGTGGCCCAGTCGTCTAAGGTGCCACAACTCGCTCTGCAGCGTTTCATCCTTTTGGGCACGCCAGAAACCTATGATCTTAGGTTCGAATCCCGGTTCGTCAGAATTTTGTTTTATGGTGTGTCAGCACCATACCTGGACTCGTGGGTTTCATCAAAGTGGTAAACGTCTGAGACCTGCATCACTTCGGGCTTTCCGCCAACTGATATAACTATAATACTGTTCAAAGCGGGGTTAAACCTAACTCAGTCACTCTGCCTCACATTTTGTAGTGTTTATCAATGAAGCAGTTTTTCCTTTACTGTTTACTATGTCTCAATTGCAAACATGGTAGTATATTTACAATATATCTATCTAAATTTAAAACAACTCTTGATCGAAGTCGCCCTTTTAGTAATATTACACACATTATCGTTCGGATATTGTACCCAAAGTTAATCCCATTGTGTATTGTGTAGTTATTGAGTTTGAATTAACGCCTTTAAAAACAGTATTCCTTTTATATTATGTCGTGTCAGCTTAATGTCGGAGCAAAGCCGGAAGTGATGCAGGTCTTAGACGTTTACCACTTTGGTGAAAACCAGGAGCAGGTACATGGTGCTGACAAACCTAGAACACAATCAGAACGAACCGGGATTCGAACATACGACCATAGGGTTCTGGCACGCTCTGCATAGCGAAATGCGTCACCTCAGACGATTGGGTCACCCGAGTCCCTGTATATAGTGTAATTGTCTTTGAAGGACGGGTGCATATTATGATGCTACGTTACCTCTAATGCCAACCGATTTCAATATATTTAAGAAATGTTGAATAGTGTTGGACATCACTGTGAAAGTGACCACATAAATGTTTACTTGAAAGAAAATTAGATGTTTTCACTGGCAATTATTTAGAGATAAAGTGTAAATGTAAAAACCCATTCCAGCCTGGGAAACGAACTTTCTCAGTCTCTCTGGAATGTAAAACATGAACAATTTTTATTTACTTCTGTACGCGGTAAGAGCCTAGTCGTCAGTCATAGATACATACGTGTCTGATGACGTCCTTGTTACTAAAGAAATGCCACGTGTCCAATAGGAGGACCACGCATGCCTTTTTTTATGGAATTCTGCAAGGGGAATTCCTGATCCATGAATTCGCGCGATTTCGACCCTTGAAGCTAGCGCTCGTGTCAGTTACATTATTCCATAGTAAACACATGTTCCATAACAATAAAGTGTTCACATTTTAAGACGACATTAAGACGCTGAATAAATATACCAAAATTTAATTTGAACTTTATTTAAACGACAGGTGAAGAAACGTAACAGAAGAGCAGAGTTTCTCCTCCGAGAAATGGACTTTTGGACGTCCATAGCGACAGCCACATCCACAAATCAAGGAGACTATCGTCATCCCAGCAACGAGATTCGCCGGATATGGAAACTTCTGATGCTTAACCAGTTCCATGACGTACTTCCGGGTACATGTCACCCAGAGGTACGTCTCCGACATGTGCAGATGCACCAGCTGCATCCGTTGCAGGTGTTGTGTCTCGAGCAACAGGGATCCAGGTGGTCCAGTGGTCTAAGGCATTATAGTTTTATTACACCCACCATTATCTTCTGTTCGTGAGTTTGAATCCTCGAATCGTCCTGATTATGAACCTTGGTTTGTCAGTGGTAAACATCAGAAACCTGCATCACCTCTGACATGGCTCTTTTGTTGAGCTCACCTGACTGAAAGTAAAGTAAACTTGTATCGTGGCGAGTTGTCCGTCCGTCAGTAACAATACGTTTCCGAAGCTATGAAACCATTAATGATCCAAATGTGATATTCGTAAGTATTTGCTACACGAAATAACCACGTGATACGTTTTCTGGCATATTTTGATTGTTTTATCAAGTTACGACTTTTGATCTCCACGTACTCCTGTTTCTGGATCTTACCTGAAACTACAGGGCATGATGAACTGAAACTTTGTAAGAATGATACGTGCAATGGTGTCTCTAAAACAGCGCACAAAAGTTCGATCCGATTTTAAATATGGTGAGCTATAACCATAGATATCGAGTTTTTATATCGAGCGGGCCGTGATCACGATATAACGGAAATACTGCTGGTGACCCCTTAACCCAAAGCCGCTCACTCTGTATTCGTTCATATATAATTGTTATCTGCTATGACTTCTTTACAGGAAATTAATAATGGATTGTGAGTGAGTGAGTGAGTTTAGTTTTACGCCGCTTTTAGCAATATTCCAGCAATATCACGGCGGGGGACACCAGAAATGGGCTTCAGCCATTGTACCCATGTCGAGAGTCGAACCCAGGTCTTCGGCGTGACGAGCGAACGCTTTAACCACAAGGCTACCCGACCGCCACAATTAATGATTGATACATGGTATGGAAAATTATAACAATGGACGTCTATTTCACTGATATTTTTATGCTGATAACAACAAGCGTAATTGTTATAGAAGTGTAACATATTAACATATTTATATTTAATAGAAATCAGTTATTACACGTACTTGTCTTTTTATGAGAATGTAGAGCATGCATTCTCTTGTAGGTCTACAAGGATTTCCACGCTCATCATGACGGTAAATATAAAACCTTGTGTATATATGTGTAGTCTATCACCCCAGTAAGCAGTCATTGTACGTGCACTGCACTGGTACCGCAGGGGTCAAAGGCTATGCTGAGTTACGTCCCTTGCAGTGCGAGGTCCGAAGGTCGTGGTCCTGTTTCGTACAATGTTGGGATAGTCTCATATTCCATGATTGTACAAAGCATCTTAAGATTAAACGTCGTCTCAATATATATATTTCTAACCGACTGGTACGCCACGACGAAACCTTGACGACCTCGCGCACTGAGCAAGGCACTAACTAATACCCCCATTACACCGGACGGCGACCTTTCTACAACCGTTCTGCGTTCTTAAGTTTTGCCAGGTCGGCGTTGAAGGCAGAGGGGTCGCAGAACGGTCGCGTAGAGCGCACAAGGGAGGCAGAGGGAACGCTCAGCCATCGCCAAGAGCGCCACTGTCGCTGAAAAGTTTTGAACCTGCTTAAAACAGTCGCAGTGAGATCGCCGTCGATGTAAGTCGCTCAAGGGAGGCAGAACGGAGGCAGAGGGAACGCAGAAAGGAGGCAGAGGGGAGGCAGAGGGAACGCAGAGGGAACGCAGAGGAGACGCAGAGGGAGCGCAGAGATATCGCACAGTGAACGCCTAGGTCGTTCAGGGAACGCAGTTACATTGACAAAAGTACCATATTTAGTCGCAGAAGGAAGGCAGAACGGTCGTAGGGGCGATTACACCAAAAGGGAGTTTTCTTGAGTATGGCGACCCCACTGCGCTCTAGTCAATTTTAGGACGCAGAAGGAGCGCAGAGCGATCGCCGTTTGGTGTAATGGCCCCTTTACTGACGGTAGGTTGGACTGCCAGTGTTGACGTGACGTTGTTGTCGGCTTTCTGTATACGGGTATACGTGTAGGATAAAACACGTCAGAGGGTTTTTTATAAGATATAAAACCTTCATCCTCGGGGCTGACGGCCCTCAGTTTTATCTTTTTGATTCGTGTTGTCAATATCATGCAAACCCGAGGGTAAGTATTTTATCTAACTTAAACAGAAAAAAGAAACATAAAACAACATTTATCAACATTTTTGTTTCAACATACTTTCACCTTAGGAAACGGTCATAAAACACGAGGGGCGTTCAATAAGTTTTGCAACTTCAATATAAGACCAACTCGCAGAATATCTTAAGTACAGTTAAATCACCCACTCTACAGCTCAGACTTAGCCCCCAGTGGCTTTTTCCTGTTCCGGCAAATGAAAACTGGCCTACGTGTAAGACGCTTCCAGGATGACGAGGATATAAAGGCTGCCACAGAGGTGTATTTGGAGGGTAAATCTGCGGATTTCTATAAAAGTGGTATTAAAAGCTTGAAGGACAAATGGAATAAGTGTATTGAGGTGAATGGAGATTATATTGAAAAAAAGTGCAAAAGATATTCTGCGATATAAGTTGCGTTGAAGTTTTGAACGCCCCTCGTGTCTGTTGCTGGTTTATGTGTGATTTATCAGCGCGTATGTAACCTAATGGTACATTCACAAAGTTTGCATTTTCGATCCTCCGGAATATAAATGTAATATTTGTCATCTGAGTTTTGACTTTTTAAGTTTTCTTACATTTATCCTGCGTACTAAAAACATTGCGCCTGAACTACCAAAAGATGCAGACATTCAAAAATATGATTTTGAGCAATGGTGCTGCCAGGTTTGCACACAACACAAGGAACACGTTAATGCGTATGCATAGAAATGTCAGCAATGCCCATGTTTCGGACTGTGGGAGCCAGTTTTGGATGATATATATAGAGGTTATCACGCGAGTGTGTTTGGGGATGGTAAATATCCTGCATTAGGAATAAACATTGTATTTAGCGAGCCTTGGCGAGCTAAATACATAGTGTTTATACCTAATACAGGATATTTACCCACCCCAAACATACAGGCGTGATAACCTCTTTATCATATAATGTCATTCATTAATTCTAGGCTTGAAAATCGCTCTCCTCTTTCACAAACATTACCTAAACATTGCGAGTTTTTTTTCTGGAATGCGCGCTTTAATATTTATTACGTCACAGGGTAAGTGATGTGTCAGTCGGACAGTGACAGTAGCCAATATAGTTCCAACTGAAATATGTTTCTTATACAGTGGCGAAGCAACATATACTCAAAACAACAATTGTAAAAAAGGGCTGCTTTTCTTGTACTCTTACAGATACATACATATAAACTTATAAAACTAAACTGGGGGGGGGGGGCGAAAAAAGCCTCTCAGCTGATTTAATGATTTGCTTGATTTTCAGTTGAAAAGTTTTATATATATATATATATATATATATATATATATATATATATATATATATATATATATATATATATATATATATATTATAAAATAATAAAGTCCACGTTAGTCCATCATCTTCTTTATATCAGTTTCAGACATAGTACTTTCGCTGTCTTATGACAGTGTCATGGGACAGCGAAAGTACTATGTCTGAAACATACATGTATATTACATGTATGTTACATGTATATCCAAAACCTGAACTGTACTTGCGCTTAGTGATCAGCACTCAAAGGACATGTCTACATGGATTTCTTTTTTAAAATATAATTTGATTAAAAAAATTAAATGTGTAAAAAATCGCACACTACACATCTTGTCTTTGAATATCAACAAAGTTGCTTCTTTAATTCGGCAAAACTTTACATTTCAAACATGGCAGGGGTCATGTGGTTCCAAATTAATTCCTTACCCCAGTCTTCAATGAACCAATTTATGTTTACACAACATTACCTATCCACAAAATCTTTTTGACTAACTCATATTTTGTATCCCAGTTTTGCTATGTATATATTTCTTTGGATTACATGTATTTTACATCTAGCTGATGAAGCAGGTATGCAAATGCGTTATTTTCTGAAAAATTATTGTTTGATCACTGATCTTTATTAAACTACAATTATATCTATTTCATTTGAACGGTTTTTTTCAAAACTCGGATGAGAAAACACCTTTCGTTATTCATGGCTAACGATGCTTGTGATTTGAGGCTCCACATCACTTCCAGTGAAACGTATTTGCAAATTTATAGCAAACACTGTTTTCATAGATAGTAATACTGACAATAAATATATAGCATAATCATTGACAACAACAGTGCAACACCACTGTAGCTCACCATGAATAACGAACAGTGTTTCTTCATCCGAGTTTTGAAAAAACCGTTCAAATGAAATAGATATAATTGTAATTTAAGAAAGATCAGTGATCAAACAATAATTATTATTCAGAAATATAACGCATTTGCATACATGCTTCATCAGCTGGATGTAAAATACATGTAAAAATCACATGTATATATACACAGCAAAACTGGGATACAAAATATGAGTTTGTAAAAAAGTAATCTGTAATAAATAGGTAATGTTGTGTAAAAATAAATTGGTTCATTGAAGACTGGGGTAAGAATGTAATTTGGAACCACATGACCCCTACCATGTTTTAAATGTAAGTTTTTGCCGAAAGAATCAACTTTGTTGATTATCAAAGATACCCATCAGCAGTTGTGTATGGTGCGATTTTTATGAATTTTAAGTTTTTTAATCATATTATATTTTAAAAAGACAACCATGTAGAAGTGTCCTTTTAGTGCTGATCACTAAGCGCCAGTACAGTTCAGGTTTTGGATATATACATGTAATATACATGTATATATGTCTTAGGTTTTTATTTAATTGAAAAAAAGCATATTATAAAATCAGCTGAGAGTTATAGCTTCTTTTGCCCCTCAATTTAGTTTTATGTGCATGAGTGAGTGAGTGAGTTGGGTTTAACGCCGCTTTAAACAGTATTCCAGTTATATCACGGCGTGTCAGCTTAATGTGGGAGGAAAGCCTGAAGTGATGCAGGTCTCTGACGTTTACCACTTCGGTGAAAGCCACGAGCACGGGTATGGTGCTGACAAATTAGAAACATAATTGGGGCGAACCGTGATTCGACCCCATAATCATAGGTTTCTGGCATGCCCAAGGGACGCAACTCTGCACAGCGAATCGAGGCGCCTTAGACGACTGAGCCACCCGTGCCCCCTTTATGTGCATGGAGATGCAAGGGTACAAGAAAAGCGAAACTATCAGCCAAGTCACTGACCCTGCCCACCCGATTGATTTACGACAAGCAGAGGTGGCTGTTTAGAGTTGCGTCCCTTGGGCAAGATCAGGAACCTATGATCGTAGGCTAGAATCCCAGTTCGACCCGATCATGTTTCTAGGTTTGTCAGCACTATTCCCGTGTGTCACCGAAATGGTAAACGTCACAGACCTGCATTACCTCCGGCTTTCCTCCCATCTTAAGCTGACATTCTGTGATATAACTGGAATACTGTTCAAATCGGTTTAGAAAATACCCGAAAGACAGAGTCGATAATATCCCATCAACCTCAACACCAGTTATCAAACTCACCGTCAGTTGGAAGTAGCCTATAGTTAGCTACGAGACGCAGCCAGCTAGGCTGTAGGTTACACACAACCAAATATTTTCCCATAGACTTCTATAGTAACGTTATATTTTTTTAAAATAACTATGCATTCAACAGCTATTACCTGTACGTGTGTGCACAGTTTGGCCTTAGAGCAGCAATAAAAACAAAAAATGACTAGCTTAGCCAGCTCCTTTTCCGAGTACAGGAAGCAAAGCACACCACTCCCAGTTTCGCACCAAATGTCACCTACTTGAAAATAGCTGTGGTCACACTCAGCATAAGTCATCATGTTGAAAAAGACAGTACTAAATAAAGAAAAACATGGTCAGTTTTAGTAACTGGATGGATGTACATTTAAAAGACATAAAAAGCTTACACAATATCCTCCAATCAAAGCCTGCAGATATCTCTCGATCTGCACTGAAGGCTGATTTGGTGTAGTAGAACCTGTAACGGGTAACTAGTAACCCGGCTACCAGACAATTACAAACGAATATACATTGTACACCGCATAGAGGTGGAAAAATCTTTCAAAAACGATAAACGTGACAGTCCATGGACTGGAACGTTCTCATGTGTTACACAGCAATAAACATCTTAAACCTATGCGTATCTATGGTTTTTCCCGATAATAATTTGTCACGCTGTGATATAACTGAAATACGGTTCAATGCGGCATTAAAATGAACTCATTCACTCATTCGTCGACTATTACACATTGTAGCCAATTACGTTAATATATAATTTACATGTATCTTGTCATAACTACACTGTACGTCAATACTATGTTAATGATCACATGGAAACTAATTGAATAGTTTCATGGTTATTTTCAGAAATAGAGCGAGTCGCTGGGTCCCTCTGTCAGATTGCTCTTACCTATATACTGAAGGTGAGTAACTCTCGACAGACGTTATGATTACATGGTTTACGGATGTTCCCAATTTTTATCAGGTGTACAATTGACCATTACTAAAATTAACTCTGCTTTCTGTATAGTTTCGAAACCAATCTGAAATTTTCTTCCATATTTCAACAGCATAGTCACAATTACATAATACACGAGCAGTTGTTTCAGATAGCCATTACCTTATGAACAAACTGGTGATTCAACATATCCGATATTAAATAAATAACAGTTAGTACTTAAAATATTATTTATAACTTTAGACGGAAACCATCTTATTTCAGTACTTTGTGTACACCTTTTTGCCGAAAGGTTAAACTATATCCACTTTGTATCTGTGTTCTGTTTTTTAAAACAATCTTCCCATTTACTGTCACACTAAAGTTTTATAAATTTAGGGTATTATAGGGCTCCTTAAGATGCCCTACTAGCCGTTTTATTGTTTATTTTGGATATATCATATCGCAGTATGGGTGTTAGCTATTTGTATTTAGATGATGTACTTTTTTTTAAACCTATCTAGATCACACAGGGAGATGATTTAGGAATGTCAAGTTATGTACATGTCTCATGGAACACGTCACAAGTTATAGCTCCTAGTTATTCTGTAAATTACAGGCTATTGAAAGTTTTACTCCTTGATAGGTCAAAAGGTCTCTCTTCAAACTACATTTGTGTACAAATTCATCAAAATCATATAATTTCCATGTGTCATGAATAAAGTCATTATAGATGCTGTACCCTTTTGATGCCACTGAGGAAAGTAAATAGACTTACCAATGGCATCAATTTTGATTTCATTATTATACCAGACATATTTGCCCACCGTATCTTCAACAGATCGTATAACATTAAAACAACAATTCAAATATAAGGACCACTTAAAACAAAACTTTCGCCCGAAGTTATTTTTAATGTTTGGAATAATCTATCAATGAGTGATGACACCAGGTGTTCACAAATAATGTAAGCGTATCTCTACTCACCGGTGACATCTGTCACAAACACATGAAAAAGTTAGTTGTTCACCTGAAATGAAAAACGCGGAAGCATACGGTACAAGTCAAAATAGGGAATTGCACCAGATATAATTTTTGTCATTTATGCGTCAAATTTGTACATATCCTCTCTACGGCTACATATGTCTTTGTCAAAACTATACAATACTATTGTAACCCTGAATGTCAAACAACTTCTACTGATTGACCCTGACTCTGTAAATGAGCTTTGAGAAGTGAAAACACAATTAATATGGATGTCCTTACTTTTGTAATGGTTGCGAATAATGGTAGATATTTACCATTATATATACAGTGCTGTCATTCAGTGAGACAGAAAGTGCTACACGACAACTCGGAACTCAATAGCTCAGTACAGTCAGCGGATGTACACATCAACGGTGACGCTCCTCTCGGTGTAACAAATGGTAACTACTTATTATTATCATGCTCTTTGATAAAATTGGTACCTGATGTTTATGATAACTATGACTATGACGATATGAAGCGAGGAGGAGAGGAGAACATATTCACAATTTGCACCGTATTGTTTTATTACGAAAACATTTCAAATATAGTTCTAAGTAGACAAATGTCCTTGGGACGTATAATTCGGTGATTGGTAAATATGCCGGAGTGGGTCCTACAGGAATTGTATGGTTGCCCGGGATATGCATTCCATAACCCTAGTTGTCAATGGATAAAGTGCACTTCCTTATGTGTTTTTTTGTCAGAATATCTTTTCAATCACCACTGTTTCAAGAAATTCAATTAAGTTTCCCTGAAAAGAGGCGCCACAGCATAAATGATTCAGGGCATAAAGTCAAGAAGGTTTATGTACAACCAGATACAAATTTCTTTTTCCAATTTGTTTTCTGGAACACCCCCATGCCACCCAGAATATCCAATATTCAATCAAGCATAGGATATCTCTTGCGACGCCAGTTCTCTAAGTCTCAGCGATTGATTGTGCAGAGTTGTGTCCCTTAGGCGTACCAGGAACCAGTTTGTTGATCCCCATTTCATCCTCATTATTGTCATTAATTTGTCATCACCCTATCCGTGCTCGTTGGTTACTTCAAAGTGGTAAACATCTGAGACATGTATCATTTCGGGCTTTTACACCAACATTATGTTGGCACGTCATAATGTAACTGAAATACTTTTGAGAGCGGTGTTAAACCCAATGCACCCAGTCACTCTATCTTGCTGTTTTGTATATGTCTGTTCGCTGCAGGTCTACTAAAGGGAGACAACGGCTCACTAGAATTGTCCGAGACAGAGGTACGACCAATATCGTCTTCATACAAAATTGGACTTAACAATAAGCACATTTATTGCATTTGAAATGACGTAGTACTGATGCGAAGCAAAATAAAGTTGTCTCGTCTTTTTCTTACGGTTGATATAATACAATTAACATGAAATATATTTGAGATGATGCACTTCTAAATTACATAGCGACACCGTATTTCTATAGTCTGAACATGAGAATTTCGTTCCTCTACTGCATTGTAAAATCATAAACACTTTATTATGTTTAAATATCAATCCAAAAGGGATGTTAACAAACATCATCCATGAATACTTGACACTTTTTATGGGTAGCAACTTCATATATTTTTTGTCACGACGTTTCAGAGCTACATGTACTTCATGCTCCTTCATCTTATCAGGTGAATGCTACAGAGTTTATATATACATTTTATATATATATATAAAATGTATGAATGTATAAAGCTACAAATGCACCTAATTAACTTTGCCATTATATTGTTATCTTTGTGACCGTCTCCGTGGTCTAGTGGTAGAGCGTCCGCCCGGAGAGCGGAAGGATCGGGGTTCGATCCCCGGCCGCGTCATACCAAAACTTGTTGTTACCCTGTTGTTACCCTGTCTGGCGCTCGGCATTAAGGGACTAAAAACAGGACTGGTCGGTTTGGAGTCAGTATACTGTGTCTGAGTGGGGTGTTCATGTTAAACTGCGGCATGGTATCTCAGTGAGCTAGCACTATAAATCGGCATCAGTCCGGACTAGTACAAGCAGCCACACACACGCGTGCATGCACGTCGCTATATAAGTGCAATAATCTTGGACGCGAGGTTAAAGCCAATTTAAACTCACCTGCTATCTATGTACATATATCTGTGCCCTTACTGATGAAGAAACATCACGTAGCTCTGAAACGTCGTGCTATCCATAGAAAGTGTCCTGTATCATTATTTCAACATCTAAATGCCTGTCGAAGACTTCAAACATTATCCACTTACAATGCGTGTTTTGAGCAAACAGATAAAGGTGATACGTATTATGTTAGTATTGTCCATATGAAATGATGAAACCTTCTGTGTGACGTTGCCAGAAAACGACGGGTACGACCACTGACTGCGGAGAAATAACCGTCGTTAATTCCTTGTCATGGCCCAGGACACAAGTAGTGAGGGTACCAGCAGAATGTTCATGGGGCAACAGTCTACAGACAGATCACCATGGCAACAACTTTGGTAAAGGACTATTAATGTTATATCGATCGTAGCTCTCGTGAAGATCAGGGTTAGAATGGACCTTTAACAACCCATTCTTGTCATAAGAGGCGAAAAACGGCATCGGTTGGTCAAACTCGCTGATTTGGTTGATGTATGTCATCGTATTCCAGTTGCGTAGATCAATGCTCATGATGTCAATCACCGGATTGTTTGGTCCAGACTCGATAACTTACAGACCACCGTCATATAGCTGGAACATTGCTGAATGCGGCGTTAAACAACAAACAAAACAATGAAATATATCCATCGTCGTCACCTTTTAACTGTGTATGTACAATGGCAAATAACTGCAGGGGTTCGCTTTTCAGACGCCGCTGATATCGATATCAGGCTTAATACACCAACTGACAACGGAGACAAATATTTTATAAATGTATGTAAATGTACCTCAGGTTTATGGGGCGGTTGGGTGGCCCAGTGGTTAAGGAGTAGCCCCAGGTTATGAGAAGGTATTCTTTCTTTACGTAGCATACCAATTAAGCAAGTGTATTCTTCATTTTAGTAGCATGTCAAGTTCTAAACAGTGTAAGTTCTCGCGTAGTCCCCTGACCTACTTATGGGCCCTATTCGTGGTATTAAGTAACATATCAATGCAAGGTTATTCTTGGTTCAAATAAGACGTCAATACAAGGCTTTTCTTGGTATTAAGGAACATATATGAATGCCAGGTTTTTCTTGGTTCAAGTACGATGTCAATACAAGGCTTTTCTTGGTATTAAGTAACATACATGAATGCCAGGTTTTTCTTGGTTCAAGTACGATGTCAATACAAGGCTTTTCTTGGTATTAAGTAACATACATGAATGCCAGGTTTTTCTTGGTTCAAGTACGATGTCAATACAAGGTTTTTCTTGGTATTAAGTAACATACATGAATGCCAGGTTTTTCTTGGTTCAAGTACGATGTCAATACAAGGTTTTTCTTGGTATTAAGTAACATACATGAATGCCAGGTTTTTCTTGGTTCAAGTACGATGTCAATACAAGGTTTTTCTTGGTATTAAGTAACATACATGAATGCCAGGTTTTTCTTGGTTCAAGTACGATGTCAATACAAGGCTTTTCTTGGTATTAAGTAACATACATGAATGCCAGGTTTTTCTTGGTTCAAGTACGATGTCAATACAAGGTTTTTCTTGGTATTAAGTAACATACATGAATGCCAGGTTTTTCTTGGTTCAAGTACGATGTCAATACAAGGTTTTTCTTGGTATTAAGTAACATACATGAATGCCAGGTTTTTCTTGGTTCAAGTACGATGTCAATACAAGGTTTTTCTTGGTATTAAGTAACATACATGAATGCCAGGTTTTTCTTGGTTCAAGTACGATGTCAATACAAGGTTTTTCTTGGTATTAAGTAACATACATGAATGCCAGGTTTTTCTTGGTTCAAGTACGATGTCAATACAAGGTTTTTCTTGGTATTAAGTAACATACATGAATGCCAGGTTTTTCTTGGTTCAAGTACGATGTCAATACAAGGTTTTTCTTGGTATTAAGTAACATACATGAATGCCAGGTTTTTCTTGGTTCAAGTACGATGTCAATACAAGGTTTTTCTTGGTATTAAGTAACATACATGAATGCCAGGTTTTTCTTGGTTCAAGTACGATGTCAATACAAGGCTTTTCTTGGTATTAAGTAACATACATGAATGCCAGGTTTTTCTTGGTTCAAGTACGATGTCAATACAAGGTTTTTCTTGGTATTAAGTAACATACATGAATGCCAGGTTTTTCTTGGTTCAAGTACGATGTCAATACAAGGTTTTTCTTGGTATTAAGTAACATACATGAATGCCAGGTTTTTCTTGGTTCAAGTACGATGTCAATACAAGGCTTTTCTTGGTATTAAGTAACATACATGAATGCCAGGTTCTTCTTGGTTCAAGTACGATGTCAATACAAGGTTTTTCTTGGTATTAAGTAACATACATGAATGCCAGGTTTTTCTTGGTTCAAGTACGATGTCAATACAAGGTTTTTCTTGGTATTAAGTAACATACATGAATGCCAGGTTTTTCTTGGTTCAAGTACGATGTCAATACAAGGTTTTTCTTGGTATTAAGTAACATACATGAATGCCAGGTTTTTCTTGGTTCAAGTACGATGTCAATACAAGGTTTTTCTTGGTATTAAGTAACATACATGAATGCCAGGTTTTTCTTGGTTCAAGTACGATGTCAATACAAGGTTTTTCTTGGTATTAAGTAACATACATGAATGCCAGGTTTTTCTTGGTTCAAGTACGATGTCAATACAAGGTTTTTCTTGGTATTAAGTAACATACATGAATGCCAGGTTTTTCTTGGTTCAAGTACGATGTCAATACAAGGTTTTTCTTGGTATTAAGTAACATACATGAATGCCAGGTTTTTCTTGGTTCAAGTACGATGTCAATACAAGGCTTTTCTTGGTATTAAGTAACATACATGAATGCCAGGTTTTTCTTGGTTCAAGTACGATGTCAATACAAGGTTTTTCTTGGTATTAAGTAACATACATGAATGCCAGGTTTTTCTTGGTTCAAGTACGATGTCAATACAAGGTTTTTCTTGGTATTAAGTAACATACATGAATGCCAGGTTTTTCTTGGTTCAAGTACGATGTCAATACAAGGTTTTTCTTGGTATTAAGTAACATACATGAATGCCAGGTTTTTCTTGGTTCAAGTACGATGTCAATTCAAGGCTTTTCTTGGTATTAAGTAACATACATGAATGCCAGGTTTTTCTTGGTTCAAGTACGATGTCAATACAAGGTTTTTCTTGGTATTAAGTAACATACATGAATGCCAGGTTTTTCTTGGTTCAAGTACGATGTCAATACAAGGTTTTTCTTGGTATTAAGTAACATATATGAATGCCAGGTTTTTGTTGGTTCAAGTACGATGTCAATACAAGGTTTTTCTTGGTATTAAGTAACATACATGAATGCCAGGTTTTTCTTGTTCAAGTACGATGTCAATACAAGGCTTTTCTTGGTATTTAGTAACATACATGAATGCCAGGTTTTTCTTGGTTCAAGTACGATGTCAATACAAGGCTTTTCTTGGTATTAAGTAACATACATGAATGCCAGGTTTTTCTTGGTTCAAGTACGATGTCAATACAAGGTTTTTCTTGGTATTTAGTAACATACATGAATGCCAGGTTTTTCTTGGTTCAAGTACGATGTCAATACAAGGTTTTTCTTGGTATTAAGTAACATACATGAATGCCAGGTTTTTCTTGGTTCAAGTACGATGTCAATACAAGGTTTTTCTTGGTATTAAGTAACATACATGAATGCCAGGTTTTTCTTGGTTCAAGTACGATGTAAATACAAGGTTTTTCTTGGTATTAAGTAACATACATGAATGCCAGGTTTTTCTTGGTTCAAGTACGATGTCAATACAAGGTTTTTCTTGGTATTAAGTAACATACATGAATGCCAGGTTTTTCTTGGTTCAAGTACGATGTCAATACAAGGTTTTTCTTGGTATTAAGTAACATACATGAATGCCAGGTTTTTGTTGGTTCAAGTACGATGTCAATACAAGGTTTTTTTTGGTATTAAGAAACATACCTGAATGCAAGGTTTTTCTTGGTTCAAGTACGATGTCAATACAAGGCTTTTCTTGGTATTAAGTAACATATCAATGCAAGGTTATTCTTGGTTCAAGTAAAATATCAATACAAGGTTATTGTCTGTATTAAGTAACATATCAATACAAGGTTATTCTTTGTTCTTGGTTCAAGTAAGATGTCAATTCAAGGTTATTCTTTGTTAAAATAACATAACAATGAACGGTTATTCTTTGTTTAAGTATGATATCAATGCGAGGTTATTCTCGGTGTAAGTAATATATCAGGCAAAGTTTGTCCTGGTTGAAGTAACATATCGATTATTCAATATTATTCTTGATTTTAGTAACATAATATGAATTATGACGGTTATTTTTGTTTTAAATGATATATGAATTATGCAATGTTATAAGCTTATTCTTAGTATAAGTAAATATCAGTTTTTCTTATACCGTACACATATGTGGTTTATCATGTCAGCGCTTGTACAAGCACCAAGTTGTGGACTATGCAGCCTACAGTTGTGTGAGGTTACACGCCCTGCTACAGCAACCGTGGGGAAGGTGAGTCTACATATCTTCTCATCTCCTGCTCGGGAAGCCTTATACCTTTACTGGGCTTCCCCAGCAGGAGCAGATATGTCCACATTTGTCAACACATTTTTCAACATGAACATTATGGTGAACCCATTCCGGTTTCTCGAGCTGTGGCTATTCCGGGTTGGAATTGGTCCCCAGCTTTGCTCAACCCCAGTTATGCTCTGTTACTTGGATGATGACGTGTCATCCTAGTCTCTGATGGTGCTCACAATATCAATCATTGGATTGTCTTGCCAAGATTTGACCATTTGCAGGTCGCAGTCATATACGTGGAATTTCCCCGAGTGCTTTGTCAACAAGGAACAAAACACAACCCAAAACCCAAACTGTGACTTTACTGCAATATTCGTATTAGAGTGCAAAACCTCACTCACTCACTCACTCACTCACTCACTCACTCACTCACATCTTCAACGATTAATACGAAGCCTTTTTATTGTGATTAAAACACCCATGTTGTTATCAGCAGTAATGGTGATCGAACGTGTGTCATGACGTACTAAATATATCTCCTTCTTTCCGGTGTCCAAATGTCCTTGTAACGTTTTAGGATGGCCTCATCCGCTTGAGTAACCGTCTCGTGTCCGCCACTGTAGACACGTATGGCCGCCTTGTGGGTCTGCGGAAGACGGGGAGTGCAAAGTAAGTTTGTGTCTCTACTCAGAAAACTAGCAACTTCCAAACAAAACCAACAAGATCATAGCCCCTATATCGATGTATCTCATCCTATATTAATGACGCTAATGATCGACTTTAGACGCATTCGATGAGTGATCACCGATATTTCGAAACTTTATATACAATTATTCATCTCACGACTGTATTTTTCATAGCGATTTTATTATCGCGACTTGAGGATTTGTGGCAGTATAGAAGCACCACTTCGGGCCTTCCTCCAACTTGAAGATAACAAGCTGTAACATAACTGACCATGAAATACTGTTAAATAGAACTCGCCCAAATCTCTTTATAATTTTAATGATTATGTATAGTGGAACGGAGAGGAGATATCGTTTATGTTTAACTTATAAAAGAAATAATAATTACAAATGCATTTGCATCTACGTTTCAGAAATTTCCTGAACTCCGGTCTCCATGGTAATCAACTAGTGATGTACGACGATTTCCCTCTATATAGAGATGCCTGGGACAGTCTGGATTTCAACCTGCAAACACGGTACACATGGGCGTGTTTGTTGCTGGGCAATGTGTGGCGCAGTTGTCTGAGGCGCAGCAATTGTCTGTGAAGAGCTGAAACCCTCTTGACATGCCAGACACTTGGGATCGTGGTTCGAATCCCAAATCCCACCTGATTATGATTCAACGTAGGTAATGTCCAAGACCTGCATCGCTACGGGCATCCCTCCCACATCAAGCGGATACGCTGAAGTATAACTGAAAGACTGTTCAAAGCGCCATTAACCCAAACGCATCCACTCGTATACCGTGTGATTCGACATGGGCCTTGGTTTGTTGGTTGGTTAGTTTGTTGTTTTATGACGCACTCAGCAATATTCCAGCTATATGACGGCGGTCTGTAAATAATCGAGTCTGGACCAGACAATCCAGTGATTGATATCATGAGCATCGATCCACGCAATTGGGATCGATGACATGCATCAACCACGTCAGCGAGCCTGACCACCCGATTCCGTTAGTCGCCTTTTACGGCAAGCAGGGGTTGCTGAAGACCTATTCTACCCCGGATCTTCACGGGTCCCTTGGTTCGTAGACAGTTATTCGTATACATTGTAATCGAGTTTTCACGTTTACAATCTTCATCACTTTCTTCTAATTGAAGCGGGGGCACGGGTGGCCCAGACGTCTAAGGCAATGCGATTCGCTGTGCAGTCCCTTGGGCACACCAGAAACCTATTATTGTTGGTTCGAATCCCGGTTTGCCCCGATTATGTTTCTAGGTTTGTCAGCACCATACCCATGTTCGTGGGTTTCACCGAAGTGGTAAACGTCTGAGACCTGTATCACTTCAGGCTTTCCTCCAACATTAAGCTGACACGTCGTGATATATCTGGAATACTGTTAAAAGCGGCGTTAAACCCAACTCACTCCTACTTTGATGTATGACAGAGGGTTAATCACGTGACCCAGGAGGGTCCTCGAACTTATTTGTGACCCTATGCCGTCACGTGACGTCTGTGCAAAGACCTATCATCGGCTTTAATAAATCGCCGTTATATCAGTGAACCAATTTTAATTTTAGACGGATTGTTATCGATGTCGTGAAACCTGCCACGGTGGTGGAGAATGGTCCAGTTCGAGCTGTCGTGAAGGTACGTGTACATGATTAATTTTATATGATACTAAGTAACAGAAACTCATTATGATGTCGTTGTTGCAGCTGATTCTGAGCCAGGAATTCAGTGGCCATTGCCCGAAAAACAAGTACAGTAAAATACGTTTTTATCGAACACGCTTATAACGAACTGACGGATATTACTAACTTAATTTTAGGTCCCGGCCATTTGCTGTATAGATGTTGTATATATGCTTAGAACAACTACGGTTAAAACGAACTGAAATTAGTGTCCCATTTGAGTTCGTTATAACCGTAGTTTACTTTACAGTAAACTACGTTTATAACGAACACGCTTATAACCAACTGACGGATAAAACAAACCTACTTTTTTGTCCCGACTATTTGCTGTAGTTATGCTGTATATATGCTAATAACGAACTACGGTTATAACGAACTAAAATTAGTGGTCCCTTTTAGTTCGTTATAACCGTAGTTTACTATACTATAAGTGATTGAACTCTAAGTCATTATTCTCATTATGTACAATTATTATAGAAACGTTATTTAGCAACCATAAACCACATGATTTAAGTCCGAGATTCTGATTCTGTAATAGTTCTGAAATATTACTAAATGTGGCTTAAACCCATTCTCACTCGGTTATTCGTGACCGCCTCAGTGGTCTAGTGGTAGAGCGTCCGCCCGGAGAGCGGAAGGTCCGGGGCCGATCCCCGACCGCGTCATACCAAAAGACGTTAAAAGATGGTACTTGTTGTTACCCTGTCTGGCGCTCGGCATTAAGGGGCTAAAACAAGGACTGGTCGGCTCGGAGTCAGTATACTGTGTCTGAGTGGGTATTCATGTTAAACTGCGGCATGGTATCTCAGTTTGCTAGCACTATAAATCGGCATCAGTCCGGACTAGTACAAGCAGCCACACAAACACACACACGTACATGCACGTCGCTATATAAGTGCAATAATCTTGGACGCGACGTTAAACCCCATTTCACCTCACATCACTCAGTTATTTAATTTGGAGAAATCACTTGAATTTGTTGATTCCAGAAATAAAATCACCTCGCCCCTTCGTGAGAGATTCTCGTGATTTCTAAATTACTGAAATAATTTTACATTTAATTATATTCCATGATAGTGTTTTAGCAATTGTAATCGTGACATTTGTCAATAATAAAATTTCTGCCTTGTAGCCCTAGTGTTAGCACAGTGTGTATGATCGTAATGGTATCCCACCAGTGTGTCTCTCAATCGCTTATGTTGGTGTTTTGTGTTAGTATTTCATGGGGTTCGATCTTGTCATTTTCTTAGGGGGTTGGGTAAATAATTTGTTTCAGAAAATATTTGTTTTCTGGACATGTAGTGTGAGTGAGTTGGGTTTAAGCCGTTTTTAACAGTATTCCAGTTATATCACGGCGTGTCAGGTTAACGTGGGAGGAAAGCCCGAAGTGATGCAGGCCCCAGACGTTTACCACTTCGTTGAAACCCACGAGCACGGGTATAATGCTGACAAACCTAGAAACATAATTGGGGCGAACCGGGATTCGAACCCACGATCATAGGTTTCTGGCGTGCCCAAGGGACGCAACTCTGCACAGCGAATCGCGGCGCCTTAGACGACTGGGCCACCCGTGGCCCCTCTGGACATGTAGGATTTCCTGAAGACAAACGTGCTATGACAACATGCCACCGTTGAAGGTTGGTTTTACATGAGTATATGTCATTTTGGTGTGTTACCTCAGCATTTCAACAATACTAAGTTACTGTCTGTATATTTACCTGATTCAGCAGTGTGTATGTGTTGTGACCAGGTGTGCGTGCGGGTCAGTGAGAGCAGTCACGTGACACAGTCCATCATTCTGGACGCAGAGTGTCCCTACATCAAATTCAACACTCAGGTGAGAGCTGAGGAATTACGATGCGGTGCCAACTGAGTATGCAACCATGGTGGATATCTTGGGTCTTCTATTGGTCTTTAGCAACCCATGCTTGCCGTAAAAGGCGACTATGCTTGTCGTAAAAGGCGACTAACGGGATCGGGTGGTCAGGCTCGCTGACTTGGTTGATACATGTCATCGATCCCAATTGCGTGGATCGATGCTCATGATATAAATCACTGGCTTGTCTGGTCCAGAATCGATTAATCACAGACGCCGTCATTTAGCTGTAATATTGCTGAGTGCGGCGTTAAACAACAAACCAACCAACCAACCAAATTGCGTAGATCAATGCTCATGATATCAATCACTGGATTGTCTGGTCCAGAATCGATTATTCACAGACGCTGTCATTTAGCTGTTATATTGCTGAGTGCGGCGTTAAACAACAAACAAATGACATGTTATAACCACCCCCTACCTCTATCCAAGGTGAGCTGTCATAAGAGCTACAAGTCCCTCCAGAGGTGTACTTCACTGTGCAACTATCTGTATACATTTGTACATATACATGTTATAACTATTCTTACCCCTATCCAAGGTGAGCTGGCACGAGAGCCACAAGTTCCTGAAGGTCGAGTTCCCCACCAGCATGACGTCATCCCAGGCCACGTACGAGATCCAGTTTGGCCATCTACAGAGACCCACACACTACAACACTTCCTGGGACTCTGCCAAGTATGAGGTAAGCAGAGGACACTGTACATGACGGGAGTGGTCCTAATAGGAATCCAGATAGTGAAAGCCTCACACTTTATAGGGTATGTAAACAAAAACGACAAAACCATTTCCAAATTAATCATAAGAAATGTCTTCTGAAAGCAGAGTCATTTGTACGAGTCCAACCATAGCATGAAATCAGCATGTGTTTATACGTCTCTATCAAATAGTACTCATGTTAGATATTGAGCAGGGGCCACGGGTGGCCCAGTCGTCTAAGGCGCCGCGATTCGCTGTGCAGAGTTGCGTCCATTGGGAGAACAAGAAACCTATGATCGTGGGTTCGAATCCCGGTTCGTCCCGATTATGTTTCTAGGTTTGTCAGCACCATACCCGTGCTCGTGGGGTTCACCGAAGTGGTAAAAGTCTGAGACCTGCATCACTTCGGGCTTTCCTCCCACATTAAGCTGACACGCCGTGATATAACTGTAATACTGTTAAAAGCGGCGTTAACCACAACTCACTCACTCAGATGTTGAGGCCGTCATATAGCTGGAATATTGCTGAGTGCGGCGTTAAACAACAAACCAACAAAGATGTTGAGCAAAAGGTTGGCGTATCCTGCTCAACCCGGGACACCCGTCACAAGCACATGCAAAGGCAAGGCAATCGTTCACTTACTTTACAGGCCTCCAGGATGATGTAATTTTAAGAGAACACATATTTAAACTGTTTCACCTTGTCAGTTTGATGCATTGCGTGTATGTATTGTTGTAACAGGTCTGTGGACACAAATGGGCTGACATATCTGAACACGGCCGCGGGGTGGCGCTCCTCAATGACAGCAAATATGGCTACTCGTGTGTCGGCGGAACTCTCCGGCTTTCGCTGTAAGTAAGCAGGACATTTCATCATCGTCACCATAATTACTCTCCACCTTCGTCAATTCCTGATTCTTGGTTTGTCGGCAAAATACCCTTGCTCGTCGCTTTCTCCAAAGAATCTAAGACCTGCTCAGCTGGGGGCTTTTCTTCTACATGAATTTGACACTCAATGATATCCTGCCATAATGTTCAACTAACTCACTCAACTTTCTATTTTATTTCTAGTTTGAGATCACCCACAGCCCCCGACACCAGCTGTGACATCGGAGACCACGAGTTTACATATGCAGTCATGCCTTATACAGGTAGAACGAAACGTTTAATTAAAACGCATGAGTAACTGAGTTTGAAAATCACATCAATCTCATTAAAATCAGATCTTAGTTCTCGGTACCGCTAAACAAATATCTGAGGACATCCCATTACGGGTCACGTCAGACCGACCTTGCGCGATCTTTGATCGACCAATGGAATGACCAATCAGAAGGCAGCTTTCTCGGGCTTTACGGCACTAATTTCAAATTGGCGACTACCCTTCGAAACATATTTTGACAAATTCTCCATTACAAATTTGAAACCTGAACAAAAAAACATTCTGGAATGGCTAATAGATGGTCTAGATTGTATGCATTCAGTCGTTAAACCCGTATCTATCGTTCGGAATATCCCGTGTTAATGTTTTCGAGGTTGTAGGATTAGAAATCACATTCCGACTGTCACTTTCATGATCTGGTAAGTGACGCTCTGATTGGTCGGATGATAGCTCGTTCTGACGTGCCCCCTAATAGGATGTCTTCAGATCTTTGTTTAGCGGTAGCGAGAACTAAGTTCTGATTTTAATGAGATTGAAAATCACATGTGAGAATCTTATCATGTCTATTTGGAGCATAGGCAGTGTTGTGAATCATGGAGCATAACCAGGTGATTGAAGGTAAGACATAGTGGTCTATGTAACTCTAATCCCACTTGGAACCCGAAATAGCAGCGAGGTGGTACCAGTGGATCGTACTTCTTGCAGAGTTGCGTACCTTAGCCTAAACAGGATCCGCTGATGGTTGGTTCAAATCCCAGATTAAACCTGATCACGATCCTTGGTCTGTCAGTACCGTGTATCTGCTCTGGTTTCCCTGGGCGTTAAACGAGTACGACTTGCCTCGCTTTGGGCTTTCCTCTCACATTACACCTGTCCGCCTAACCTCGGATTGAATATTTTTGGTTTATCGTAAAGTTATAGTTTTTATGAAACACAAACTGGTTCTATATATGTCCTAAATCTAGTGGCATATTTCTGAATTGGGCATATTTCTGTTTATTGAAATTACCCTGTTCTGATTAAATATATATTACATAATGGCATGAACGTAACCATTTATTTAAGAATATGAACTGTTCTTTTGTATAGGTACATTTCAAGCTGCCGGGGTCATTCAAGAAGCATACAACCTGAACTCTCCTCTAAACCTGCGTCCTAGCCCCGCTTTCAATCTCCCAACACATGGCGTCAGCTTCTTCCGGTTGGATACAAATCAGGTTGTCCTGGAAACTGTGAAAGTTGTAAGTTCAGTTTCCCCTGTTACACGATAGTTTAAACATTTAGTTATTCACCACGCTGAGCTCTCCTGTATGCTCGCGTTGTTCACTAAATATTTCAAAGCTTCGGTATCTACTCTTGTCAGACGCAACAAATCCACAATGCACCACCCTTACCTTATTTCCCTATTCACCACTGCTGTCGCCAACCTTAATCTGTTTGATCCTGACTGGAACCATCTTCCCGAGACAAGAGAGTTAACTCACTATAAAAGTCCAGTTTCCACCCTTGCCGAACTAGGCTGGTATTATGGAGTTACATTTTAGCTGGACTAACAAGTCTATGCATAGTCCAATCAAAATCGCGCACCGAAATCGAAATCCGGTTCGTAAACTGTCGTGAAGATTTCGGTCGATTGCAGGATTTGCAAAGCATGTGCACCGCCAACTCGTTGTCAGCAGATATGTTCCACATCTTTTCATGCTTTTAATCAAGGTGCTCACGAAATTTGATGCTTTTCGCGATGTAAGACCCGTTTTATCACAATATAGATCTTGATTATCGATCAGATCGTCCTGACTCGGCGCCACCACTTTGTGTGAAGCAAACGCAAGTGATGAGAGAAGTGGAATCTGATTGGTCCATAGGAGAGGCTTAAAAGGGACATAACTGGTAATAGCCACTGGTGGCGCTACGATCGTGCCCAGTAATTCCAGCCTAGTTCGGCAAGGGTGGAGGAAACTGGACTTTTAAAGTCAGTTAACTCTCTTGCCTCGGGAAGATGGACTGGAAGCGACTGGTGTAGAAGACCTCCTCCTCGTGGTGTAAAACGTCCTCCACATAATGTTTGCCATACAGTTTGGGAAGAGGTAGAAATCTGACAGTGCCATAGCTGGTGAATACGGAGAGTGTTCAATGTGTCTAAAGCCACAGTCATCTATTTGTTTTGGTTTGGTTTGTTGTTTTACGCCGCACTCAGCAATATTCCAGCTATATGACAGCGGTCTGTAAATAATCGAATCTAGGCCAGACAATCCAGTGATTGATATCATGAGCATCGACCGACGCAATTATGATCGATGACATGCTTCAACCAATTCAGCGAGCCTGACAACCCGATCCCGTTAGTCGCCTCTTACGACAAGCATAGACGCCTTTTACGGCAAGAATTGGTTGCTGAAGACCTATAATAATTCTACCCCGGATCTTCACGGATATTGTCATCTATTGATGCCATGGCGACTTGTGCCGGTTCATTGTCCTGGGCCCACTTGCACAAAGCGATCTTAGAGCTAAGATGATCGTAACTCCCATACTTTGGAGGAGACGTCAAATGTTTCTACTACTCTTTTACTAATAGTGGTGAGTCCACGACGCACCGGCTGGGTCTACTTAAAAACGACAGATGATGAACCCGATCGTTTTTGGTCTTCCTGATCTTGTATCATCTTCGAGGCTCGCCTCACCCCCCCCCCCCCCCCCCCCCCAAAAAAAAAAAAAACAACAACAAAAAAACAAACAACAAACCCAAACAACAACACACCTTTGAACTCCGCACCCCGCTTACCATCTCTTAACAATAGGGGAGGTCGGGTAGCCTAGTGGTTAAGGCTTTCGCTCGTCACTCCGAAGACCCGGGTTCGATTCCCGACATCGGTACAATGTGTGAAGCCCATTTCTGGTGTCCCCCGCCGTGATATTGCTGGAATATCGCTAAAAAAGGGCGTAAAACCAAACTCACTCACTCTTAACGATAGCAAAGGAAGCAGCATCGTTCCCAAAAGTTGCAACATGTCCGCATATGCTAACCCTTTCAGTTGAAAATACTTGATGACAGCTATTGCCAATGTTGTCCATCATCAAATATGCTGCCTGGTTATGTATTTGATTTAAATGCAGCCTGTAAGCATTGAACATATTGTACATAATACATGCAAACTAAAGGTTCACAGTAGACTTACCAGCCACCCTTCATATGGCTATGTATTTTGTTACATCTTTTGCTTCATTTTCATTGTATTTTTAGTCCGAGGAGGATCCACGAAGTCTTATTCTGAGATTGTATGAATCGTTCGGTGGAAGTGTGGCAGCCACGCTGAGTACCTTACTCCCTGTTTTGAGTGTTTCAAGGTAAAGAAGTTAAAAGTTATTTTTTTTAAATATACATTTAGTAACTCAGAGAGCTCGGGTGACATGTTGGTTGCAAATCGCTGCGCAAAGTTGTATCCTTGTGTTCACAGTTGGTTCGAATCCAAGATACGCCAACGTTACGACCCTTGTCAACACCTTACGCGTAGGTTTTAAAAGATTTGTAAAATGAATTGGGCTAACGAGAGTATCTGTGTAAGTGTCCTGACATACCTTAACGTCTTCACAAAAATATATTTAATAAATCAGTTTTTGGTCAGAAAACTTCAAACCATATATGTAAACGTACGTTCTGATGTTATAAACGGGTCATGAATAATTTATGTAACAAAGTTTCATATATCATTTGAAATATGATTTTGTTTGGTTGTTGTTTAACGCCGCACTCACTATCAACCAATTTACCGAGTCTGACCATCCAAACGACAAGCATATGTTGCCGGAGACGTATTCTTGCCCAGAATACCCACGGGCTTAGCTTTCATGGAAGACAACTTCCTGTGAGATCAGAACCGTACAGTTTTGTTTGTTTGCTGTTTAACGAGGCACTCAGCAATATGCCAGCATTATGACGGCGGTAAATAATCGAGTCTGGACCAGACAATCCAGTGATTGACAGCATGAGAATATCGATCCACGTAATAGGGATGCGATGACATGCATCAACCTGTTACGGTAAGCATGGGTTGCTGAAGACCTATTCTACCCCCGATCTTCACGGGCCAGGTATAACATGTATACAGAAAGTGGCACAGTGATGTTCACACTTTCAGGAACCTGTGAACAAGAAAACGTAGTCAGTTTGAACAATATAAGACACTATCACGATTGACTACAGATTCAGTTTTTCGGATGGCATATTAACAGACCTGTCATAGCGACTGATTTACGACAACAACCATTGTCTGAAAAACATTCGATTCCAAAGGCTAATTACCCTGTAGCCGTGACATGTGCATGTCTCCATGACTTAATTGTCATTATGTATTAGACCCTAATCCCCGTTGTTAATCCTCACTAACATTTCATTGTATATTGACTGTCAGCCAATCTGGGCCACTACATCCCTTCCCGTTAATTACTGTTATTTATAGTATGACATTTATTGCCTGAATTGTTCATACCCTGAGCTGTGTCGGTTCATCACCCCCAGAAGTCCCATGTCCAGAGCAACGTCATTGTCTGTCCATTGTTGTTCATTACTATATATGTGTTACTATTACACTGTTAGTCATAATCCTATAGGCTCCCAATTAATCAATCAATTTTCACAGCCGAATTAATGGGGATAGTACTAGCCCTGCACAGCGATCAAATAAATAGACACCAAAAAACCCTAATCCTTTCAGATTCATTAAGTGGGCTCCAGCCAATAAAAATCAAAAACACAAAAAGCGCTCAAAACTAATACAACAGATAATTAAAAGCGCCAACAATCTACGTAGAAATAGAAATAGTTTGGATCCCTGCCCATGTTGGAGTGTTTGGCAACGAACACGTAGACAAAGCAGCCAAATCAGCACTAACATTAGAAGAAGTAAGCATCAACCAACCAATATTAAAAAACGAAATTAAAAGTATCACAAAGGAGAAAATCTTCCAAAAGTGGCAAAATAACCATCAGAAATCTGATTGCAAACTAAAACACCTGCAACAAAAGCCACTCATAAAACCAAAAATCCACCTTAAAACCAAAACACTTGACAGTAATAACTACACTACAAACAGGCCACACTTTGTTAAACTCCCACCCACACCAAATTATAAAACACCAAACCGGTAAATGTCCCAACTGCAACTTAAAAGAAACGCCTGAACACGTAATACTATATTGCACACATTACCAGCAACACAGAACAACGCTTCAATGCACACTAAATTGCAACAACCACATGACACTAGCAACGGTACTAAACCCCCTAAATGACTTACAAACCCTTAACGCACTAGGCATATATCTAATCAAAACAGGCCTACTTGCAATTGGCCGCATTTAAAAATAAAAGAACGACAAACAAGCTGCCAATAAACCCTAAAATTCTAAAGCTATAAAAACACACAAACTCCTTTTAGCCCTCCCCCCCCCCCCCCCCCCCACACACACACACACACCCCTTTTGCTTGGCATTTTTCAATATTCCAAATTTGTTCTCCAAATTAAGTAAGCGAGCCTAAAGAGCCTCACCTTTTTGGACAAACCCTTTTCGACCAAACACCAAATGGCCTGACGGGCCCGTGCGCGAAATACGCATATGTCGGAAAGCGCACGTTAAATTCCTAATTTAAGTAAGTAAGTAACTGTAAGTCACTTTGGTATTCAGAGTGCTGGTGTAGGGACGACCTCGAGCAGGATGTGCCACTCGTAGGAATCGTCCTGAGGTTGAGCTGGAGCTCCGCTCGCCTCATGTGTTTGTGTTGTCAGAGCAGGTATTCCGATCATTGTGTATTTGTTGTATATTGTTTAAATGTTGTGCATAAAACGTTCCGGGACAGTGATGTCGATTTTGTCCTTGATTCCCCGCTAATTCCCCGCCAACAAGCGCGTTGACAGACCTATTCTACCCTTGATCTTCACGGGTAGGTATCTGTGTGTCTTTGTGTTTGTGCGGTATGTGTGAGTTTATGTATGTGTGTTTGTGTGTGTGGTCCACACACTTCCCCAGAGAACTCACGTTGCTACAACCCACACACGTCTTTATTTCATTACTATACACATCCAACTGTGCTAACAGTCAAACTCCCCTCTCCATTCTAGTCATTCCGTGCACCCGCTTACCTAGCAACGCATCACCTTCGTCCGCCATATTCGTTCTACATTCTTTTAGAGTTACCCCTTACACTGCCCGTACAAGCCCGTACATGTATGTGCCACAAGTTACCTCCCCTTATACTACAATATTAATAAATGTGCATTAGCATGTGACTGTCAAGATCGAACGTTTGACCAGTGATACTGATTTACTGACCAATCGTTGTCGTTGCAGATGTAACGGGCTGGAGGAGATACTGGACGATGATGAAGATGTTGACTTCATCCCTGGTCACCCTGCCACAATACGGATGTCTCTGGGTCCATTTCAGATACTGTCCCTGATAGCTCGCTTCTAGTGAGCCAGATACGAAAAGAACCGACTAACGCTCTTGTAGATGTCCCATTTGGGCCAGTCAGGGTCCGTGGAACCCCTCAGTAACCATAGAGCCGGTTGATATGGTTGGTTGGTTTGTTGTTTAACGCCGCACTCAGCAATATTCCAGCTATATGACGGCGGTCTGTAAATAATCGAGTCTGGACAAGACAATCCAGTGATTGCTATCATGAGCATCGATCCACGCAATTGGGATCGATGACATGTCTCAACCAAGTCAGCGAGCCTGACCACCCGAT